GCTTTCACTAGCTTAACTGAGCCTTAGCCCTCACTCCACCCCAACCTGGCCACCTCTCCCTCTCTCTTTCTCCTCTGCAACAGCATTGTCTGTAATGTATCTCTCTCACTGCCTGAAAGCTTAAATCTTTGAATCAGAGAAAACCCATTTCCATTTCACATCTTCCCATTTGAAAAACCAAAACCAGCAGCTTGAAAACATGAGTTTTGCAGGACCCAGAAGTTCAAAACCCACAAAACCCCCAAACCCATCAACCTCAAATGCACCAACATCCCAACCACAGCAACCCCCAAACTCCTCTTCAAAGTCCTCTTCTTCTTCTGTTTCTTCCTCCCTCTCAACCCACTTAGCCATGGTGGAGCTGAAGCAGAGAATCCTCACCTCCCTCTCAAAACTCTCAGACCGAGACACATACCAAATCGCCGTCGAAGATCTCGAGAAAATCATCCAAACCCTCGCACCCGAGGGACTCCCTATGCTCCTTAATTGCCTCTACGACGCCTCCGCTGACCCAAAACCCGCCGTCAAGAAGGAGTCTTTGCGCTTACTCGCATTGGTCTCTGCTTCCCACCCCGATTTCACATCGACCCATTTGACCAAAATCATTGCTCACATCGTTAAGAGGCTCAAAGACGCCGATTCCGGCGTCAGGGATGCGTGTCGCGATGCCATTGGAGCGCTGTCGGCGCAGTACTTGAAGGGAGAGAGTGTAAGTGACAATGGGGTACTTGGGTCCATTGTGGGTTTGTTTATGAAGCCTTTGTTTGAGGCTATGGCTGAGCAGAACAAAGGGGTGCAATCTGGTGCTTCGTTGTGTATGGCTAAGATTGTGGATTGCGCTGCAGACCCACCTGTCTCTTCTTTTCAGAAGCTGTGTCCAAGGATCTGCAAGTTGCTTAACAATCCTAACTTCTTGGCTAAGGCATCGCTCTTGCCGGTTGTTTCAAGTCTGTCTCAGGTTTGCTTCATGTATTATGTGGTTGCTTCTTGGTTGGTTAAATAAGTAGCTTCACTTTCCTTTTCCAATACTAATGATTTGTAGTCATGTACATTGTTGTGAATTTGATAGTAAAGTTGGGACTTATGTGGTTGTTTGGTTGCTGGAAGTTGTAGGAAACAAAAGACAGCAGAAAAGAGAGCTAATTTGGAGTGTTAACTTAAAATGTGTTGGGTTTGATATAGTGAGAACAAATACATTGTCTTCCTGGTTTGTAGGTGGATAAAATGAACACTTGGATCTATACTTGGGATAATTTATTTGGATTTTTACTGATCTGAAGAGGTACGTACTTGTTGCAGGTTGGAGCAATTGCACCGCAAAGCTTGGAAAATTTACTGCAAATTATTCATGAATGCCTTGGAAGTACAGATTGGGCAACACGTAAAGCAGCAGCTGATGTGCTGATTGCATTAGCAATGCATTCAAGCAATTTGGTCAAAGATAGAACTGCTTCCACCCTGACTGTGCTTGAGTCTTGCCGTTTTGACAAGGTAGTCTTTTGTTGCATATTCTTTCAAGTACATTACCTTTTCCCTTACTATCTGTGCACACTAAATGATTACCAGATTTCAATAATGTCGTGGGGATCACTTGATTATAAACAATAACATTTTTTCTTTTAAACTTGTGGCTTTGTATTAATAACCGGTACGCAATTATTCAAAGGAGATTCAATGCCGAACAGTATGTCATTGGATTAGTGTGCATATAAAAATTCCACTACCTTATTTGGTTTTTTCGTGTGGAACTTCTATATTTGAACTTTTTTCGGTTGTTTACTGGGAGAGGGAGGGGTATTTGAAAGTGTGGAAGATAAACTCTCTTATTAAGAAATGTTGGATTAATTTGCTAGAGATTGTCCTCATGTGGATACTGGATATGCGTTTCACATTTCAGATAGGCCCGTAGTGTTGTTTCTCACTTTACTCTGTTAGGAAAAAGCAATCTACTTGTAATATTGAACTGTTGAAATCAGCCAACGTCCATACAAGAAATATGTTATAAAGATAGGAGGGTGGCTATATATTTCTCTTGGCCTAGTGTCCAAAATTATGTTTGATTTGTTTTACAGATTAAACCTGTCAGAGATAGCATGACAGAGGCATTGCAGTTCTGGAAAAAGATTGCTGGGAAAGGAGGAGATGAAGCTCCAAATGAACAGAAGGGCCTGTCTCATGGTAAGTATATCAGTATATATTTTTTGAATGCTCCTAATTTCTATTTCTTTTCTCTCACTGGATTACTTTTTAGTAACAAATTTTTAATAAAGAAAATCCTGAATCAGCAGAGGTGTCAGAAAAGAATGAGTCAAAAAATCCAAAGCCTAGTGAGAGAACAGAGCAAGCAGCAAAGGGTTCATCTAATGATTCATCCCCTACTTCAGATTCTGTTTCTAAATCCAAAGGTATTACTGCAGATAAAGCAGTTGCACTTCTGAAGAAGAAACCACCTGTCTTAACTGACAAAGAGCTAAACCCAGAATTCTTCCAGAAACTTGAAGAAAGGGGTTCTGATGAATTGCCTGTAGAGGTAGTTGTTCCTCGTAGACATCTCAATTCTTCAAACTCAAATAATGAGGTAGAACTAGAGCCAAATTGTACAGATTCAAAGGAAAGGCTAAACCGCAATGGAAACAGCCAATCTGATGATATTCAGGGATCTTTCAGTAGTAAATACCGTAACATAGAGAGAGGACTTGCTGGTCTGTATTCTAAACAGAGAGATCATGATGACTTTGAGCGCAGTAAATGGCCAGAAGAAAGGGCAAATGGAAAAGACCCAAGAATGAGAGCAGTTGATGGTGATGATAGAATTGATATAAATCAAAGGGAGTCATCTAGCAGTCGTGCAGGTTTCTCAAAAACTGATGGTCAATCTGAAGGAGCCTTTGTCAATAACAAAGGAAATTGGTTGGCTATCCAAAGGCAATTGTTACAGCTGGAGAGACAACAAGGTCATCTGATGAGCATGCTGCAGGTATTTTAGTTTCTGCACTGTGGAAATGGTTTTAATGTATATTCCTCAAAATTATATGATACCTTTCTTAAATTGCAGGATTTCATGGGTGGGTCTCATGATAGCATGGTAACTCTGGAGAACAGAGTAAGGGGTCTTGAGAGAGTTGTTGAAGACCTGGCACGAGATTTATCTATATCATCAGGGAGGAGAGGTGGTAATTTTGCAATGGGGTTTGAGGGATCTTCTAATAGGCCCTTAGGCAAGTATAATGGTTTTCCTGATTACACTAGTGCCAAGTTTGGACGAGGCGGGGATGGAAGAAGTCCATTCGGTGAAAGATTTGCCCAAAATGATGGAATTGTTTCCGGCATGAGGGGAAGGGGCCCTCCTTGGAGATCTGACATGTCTGAGGTGTGGGATTTTTCTACATATGGTGGTGGTTCTCGAAATGGGCAGATTGGTTCAAGGAAAGCTGTAGGAGGTGGTCCTATGGATGGTAGGTCCCCCAAATCAGAGAATGAGAGTGATCAGGGTGGCAACAGGCGAGCATGGGATAAAGGGGTTGGACCTGTTAGGCTCGGTGAGGGGCCTTCCGCAAGAAGTGTTTGGCAAGCTTCAAAAGATGAGGCTACCTTGGAAGCAATTCGTGTTGCTGGAGAGGACAATGGAACATCTAGAGCAGCAAGAGTAGCTATACCTGAATTGACCGCAGAGGCTATGGAAGATGATAATGTGGGCCAAGAGCGGAATCCAATCTGGACTTCTTGGACTAATGCAATGGATGCTCTTCAAGTGGGTGATGTGGATACAGCCTATGTGGAAGTATTGTCTACAGGAGATGATCTCTTGCTTGTAAAGTTAATGGACAGATCAGGTCCTGTGATTGACCAACTTTCAAATGAGACAGCAACTGAGGTCTTGCATGCTGTTGGACAATTTTTACCAGAGGCAAACTTGTTTGACATCTGTTTGTCTTGGATTCAACAGGTATCAGGTTTTTCTTAATCCTGTTTCTTATTCTACTAGCTAAGATAACTTCTCTTTTGAAGGATTCATGAGTTCACTAGTTTCCTTCAAGGGTTACACTTCTTAATTCTTAATTTTATTGCATTTGGTGTTCGTCTATGGAGCTGCCTCAGTTTCACTTGAATTTGACGATTTAGCCCCTTTTCCCATTTTGCAGTTGGTTGAAATGGTGCTGGAAAATGGATCAGATGTTTTTGGCCTTCCCACAGAAGTAAAGAAGGAGCTTGTATTGAATTTGCATGAAGCTTCTTTAGCAATGGATCCACCTGAGGACTGGGAAGGTGCAACGCCGGATCAACTTTTGGTGCAGTTGGCATCATCCTGGGGAATCAATTTGCAACAGCATGACAAATAGTTACTAGTTCATTTGTCAATTTGTATTCAATGTGAACTTTGCGTTTGGAGTGGATGATTTGGTCTATAGTTCCTTCAGTTAGTACGATTTGAACTTAATGACCAATAAACATATATAATTGTCAAACTACTCTGCAACTTGTGTAGAAATCAGTCAATACTTTATGCCATAGAGCATTAATGGATCATATTCAAGTTGGAAATGCCTCAATGCGTGAATACGTTCACTTGATTTATCAAACGTGGGGCATGGGGGGATTTTAAGGGCTTTTAATACACAAATCCAACTTTAACAATAACGATCATTGTGGTCAGTGTTACCCCAGAAGTCTCATTTGCAAGTATGAGGTATGTTGCTGTCAGTTGCTCATAGGCAATGCTCGACTGTGGTTGATGCATTTTAAGGTTCTTACAGTGCCCCTTGTAACCTTGGTTGAACACGCACATACCCCATGTAGGTCTGGATTTTTAAAATCCTTAATTCCTCTTTCTCCCAACTAATTCATAAAAGGAAAACGTATTATACCAAGAGAAAGAAATGAGGAGAAACTAAGACAACGTAATATCGCATCTTCAATCTTGTTCAAAACATACATTAGTTTCACCAAGGAAAGTACAATACATTAGAAGAGGTGTTCAACAAAACGTAAGTGTTTAATTGTTAGTAGACTAATCTATATACAAGGCATGCTTTTCCATGAGCCTTCCCCATGGTCTCAAAATCACATAGTGCTACCAAGCAGCAGATAGAACCCTCTTCTAGCAATCCTTGGCTGCAATGTGACAAACTCATCATCAAAGATGATGGAAAATTTCACATCAACAGGCTAATGAAACTGATTCCTTGGGCAGAAAACCTCTTAGGAGCGAATGCCATTAAAACAAGATTGCAAATGGCCCTCGGAATGTATAACACACTGCCCTCATAACATAGAGGTTCTAAAACCAAAGGTCCAATTATGTAATTAACCACACAATCTACTTGGCAGAATACCAGTTTTGTGCACATTTGGCATCAACAGCAAGGTCAACCTTAAGGAAATTCTTGCCATTGAAGGGCTTCGACATGCACTCAACAACTATTGCCTTTGCAACCTCAGCAGACTCAGATGGCCCTTCCAAGATCACTTCATCATGAACCTGCTTTCCAGAAAAGATAATTTCCAGAACTCATCAATAGCTACCTTTTTTAACCCTCTAATTTAAAATATTCCAAAAAAGATAGATAACAGAGAGCCACACAAACTGCTTTATCTTTTTACGCCTTTTTCTTAGTAAAAACTATATTGTTTGTGATTTACTGTTGCACAAGTTAAACTAACTTAAACCTATTCAATGTGAATGTAAATGCGTCAAGGAGCATGTCAATCCAAGATGAAATATGAAGAACAGAAGCAATTAATTGAGGAAAGCATTATTTAAGGTTGCTATGAAAATTAGAGCGGAAAAAGAAATGACATCCGAACCACTATTAAATAACTCTAAAAACGATGCTCCTATTTCCATCTTATCACACCCCCCTCCCCATAAACTCCATAATTTTTCCATAACACCTACACCTATTTTCAATTTTCGAAAACTTGAAGAAATTCTACTGGATGCCCCCGAATGACAGAACAAAATGGTGGATGCCAATGGAATTACCACTCCAAACGTAAAGTCCAAATCTCTTGAAACAACCAAATAACATATATTTAGGAAGAGAAGAAGTAAACCAAGCAGTATCGTTCTCACATGGTCTACTTATATCATAAGATGAAAATTGATTTGCACAGATAAGACCAATAAATTGAAGATTTATAGACATCATTCAAAATTGCTGAGAAATAACCATATCAAAAAAGGCAGAGAGCCAGATAATGTGGCTTAGAAAGAGTACAAGAAGATAGCTCTTTCATTTCACTTGAGTCAAATATTTAAAGGGAAGTTGACGCACGATCAATTGAAAGATCTATTTAGGACATTAGGAGAGAAAGCAAAAGAAGCAAATATCATGTGTGTTTATATTTTGTCCCTTTGACTCATTTTTTCTCATCAAAGATTCCTTTCCACAATTTATTGCTCTCTCACTTCCCCCCAACCAAACAATATCTTTCTAATATCTATTCTTAAATTTACTCTATAAACTTTCTTATAAATTTTTTGTAAATGAACGAATTTAAGAGGAAAATAAGCCTCCATCTCCTACATTTTTGTTCTTGCTACTTATCTTTTCCCCACAAAAAATGAAAGGTACAAAACATAGCAATTCACATTCCTCATGGAGCACTTTTCATATGTTCTTAATAATTACAGGATGCTTAAAAATCTTAGCTTTTATTATTTATACTGCTATATATTTTTTCTAGATTTCTGTTGAAATTATAATTTTGTTCATGACATTGGCAAAGTGTTAGCTAGTTTAATAATAAGGAAACTGGAGTTAACCTGTAAAAGCAGCCTCCACCCAAGATCATTCAAATGCGCATTATTGGATATTTCTAACATGGCACACATGGCAACATCAGCAGCACTACCCTGTTGCAGTCAACAAATCAAAATCTCATGTGTCGAGAGAGAGAGAGAGAGAGAGAGAGAGAGAGAGAGAGACAATGCACGGGAAGAACCTGCACTGGTGTGTTAATAGCAGCCCTTTCGATATGACCTCTTTGAGCGCGACTAGCACGAGCTATTGAGGGGAACCAGCGTTCCCGTCCTAGCAATGTGCGAACATGTCCATGCTTTGTAGCTTCCTCTTTGCGTTTTTCTTGCCAAAGGCTCACTTCTTGTCTTTCTTTGTACCAGAGCTTAACTGTTTGCTCTGCATCCTGAACAGATACCTGGGAACCACCATACCCTACTGCATCATTCAAATTGATACAAAAATAATATGAATGCCTTATTATATTTCAAATTTAGCGCTGCAAGTGTACCTTCCAATCCCGAGAAAGCCCAATTGGAGTTTTCCCATATGCAATGGAGAAGTTAAGCATTTTAGCTTTCCTTCTTTCAGAAGCAAAGGTATCCTGAACATGAAATGTTTTTTAATCAGAAGATAGTGTTCAGAGTGAATCCAGAGCTACTAACATTTTATTTGGACATCAGCATATCAACATATGGTTGTAACCTCATCCAAAAAACAGATTAGAATAGCAGAAAAACAATCAAAATATCAATATGTTGACAGCTAATAGATGGAATATATATATATATATGTATGTATGTATGTATCAAATTAGAAAAACAATATTTCAGCTATCGCTCAACTGGAAAAATTGCAACATGATATTGGGTGAGATAAAAACATGTACAAACAAAACTGAACAAATTAAATATATAAACTTCATGCTCATCAAATTAAAAGGTACAAAACAAATTTGATATCTTTCCATACAATGGTTATCCCAAGCCTAACGTAGTAGAATCAATATTCAATTCATTCTTATACACACTTGGAATGACTAAGAACTTTCATCTTTAGTCCTAGCTCCAGTCATGGACAGGAGCAATTACATTCCAGCTCCAGTCATGGAACAGAAGCAATTTCATTAACCTGGAGGCATTGTTATATTTAAGGGGAGAATATAAGCTTTTCCAGCTCCGCCCACTTGCTTAAATCTGTTTGGTACTTTCACTTTTTCAAACATCACCAAAGCAAACATTGCCAACTCTTCATGAAATAAAGAGAGAGCAACAGAAAGAAACATACAACATTTTTATTTTCCAAGGTTCAATTATAATAACCAACGACAATCTTATTAGTTCCCTCAAGAAAATTTTAGGCCAGAAAACGTAAATGTAAGAAAGAATGTTCTTTCTTTTGGACTGAAAATAAAAATATTCCTACAAAAAGAAAGACCACAAAATTCAATTTTCCAACTATCATCAATAAATGTTCACTGCTAAACTAGGAAAAAACATTACACTTTTTAACCTTCAATAGTGGAACTGGGGGTTTATCTTCACCAGGTTGAGGATCCCACTCAAGTAGCACTTCCTTTTTCTCAACGGCTTCCCAAATATGCTGGTACATGTTCATTGCAGTCCTTGAATGAAAATCTCCACCAGCTTTGAAGGCATCCAACATGCTCTTACAGTTGGAAAGATGAGCAAGAATCCTGAGTTCCAGCTGTCATAAGAACACATTAATTAAAAAATTTAAAATATGTATTCAGCAGATAATGTAAACAACTAACCTGTCCATAGTCAGCAACAATAAGAGAATTTCCAGGTGCAGCTACAAACGCCTGCCGGATCTTATACCGGTCTTTCTCCAAAGCAGGTTGATTCTGAATCAGGAAGTAAAGAAGAAAAATGAAGATTCATACCTTCCAAGTTTCTGGTATAGTTGGAGATGTTAGTTCAGAAGCAAGATATTTGATTGAAAATCAAAGTGCTTTTAATGATCAGAGAAGCTGACTATCCAGATATCACCATTATCCATAAGGGAATGGTTAATGTCTTGGATGAACAATTGATTATAACTTCATTAAATAGATGATTGTAAAATAGTTGAAAGGATTATTAATTAAACCTGCAAATTAGGCCTCCTAGCAGATAAACGCCCCGTTTCCGTGTTTATATTTAGGGAACAATGAATCCGCCTGTTCTTGCCTGATATATTACTGCTCTGTAGTAGAAAGAAACCAATATCATTGTAAAGTGTCGCATAAATTTGCAGTAAAAAGTTAGAGAAAAAGGAGTTAGCTTGGGATATTAGTAAGCATAAACAGTGTGATATAACAGCAGAAATCACCTGCAAAGGGAGGATGAAGTTGGATATCAACGAATCAATTGAGCAAACTTGACATAAAGCAGCAATAGCGTGGCAAGCTTCCTTTCCCTTCTCCTTTGGTTTAAATGCTTCAAAAGCCGTCCCATAAGTAGATGTGTCAACATATTCAGACATATTTTCTTGTTTTACCAAGTATTCATCACTCACTGTTCCACAAGCATCTCCAACATCATCTATGTCATCATCCATAAAATGAAATTCTGAAGAGACCTTCCCAGATAAAATCTTCAAAGCATCTCCTCCAACTGAGGGCCAACCACTTGCTGTGTAAATCTCAGCCGGAAGATTGACACCAATACCATGCAGAGTGATATTGCGATATTTTGGGGTTGTATCCTTTCCATCTTCAATCACTTTATCAATGTTTGGAACTCTAAAAGTCCTCTCAGTTGGAACAGCCTGATCGGAGTCCTTGCTGTAACAGGATACAATCAAGTCAAATTTATACAACTTCCCTTGCCTTTTCATAAGGCTAGGGCGATGGTATCATGAAATAAGATTTTTATTTGGTACTGTCCCGGCATTTGAATAGTGTAAACGGTAAACTTACAATGCAAATGCAGGACACTTAATGTTCCAAATGACCCATAGACACTAGAGTAATTGAATTTTTGTTTGTTTACCATAAAAATAGTTCATATGGATATTGCTGTTTTTATTAGACATCTCAGTGCAGTTGGGGATCATTTTCTATCACAAGAAGTGGTCCCTCCAATAAAATCTAGATTTTGTACCCTAAGTTTTAGATTTGACTTATGGTTCTAATCCAGGATACTGGGGCTGTTTCCTCTCACATGAACCAAAACTCTTACAAAGTTTTGCAACAATTCTGCTTCCTGTGCATGTAGTCATGCTAACCAAACTCTCAAGAATAGCAAAGCATATTGTTGAACAGCGCTTACATAAAATTGTACTCTTAACCTTATCATATATCTTTTTTATTAAGAAAAAGGAAAAAACAAAAAGATACAGCTCATGAGAGTTAAACATATCTTCGACCATATATCACAGGATACATATAAAAGGTAAAACTTTCAAATTCCAAGACAAATAGCAATAGACTGAACTCCTTATGTCAACAGAGCAAGAGAACTTAAGTTGCTAAAAAGAACAAGAAATCAAGAAGATAATCAGAATGCTTTGTACTGTTTTCTGTATTTAGAAGCAAGTAAATTTAGTTTTTTGACTTCTGTTCCACAGTCACCAACTAAAGCTGATATAACCAAGAGAGCAACAAAGCTCGTTATGTCAACAGAGCCAGAGAACTAAAATTGCTAAAAAGAACAGGAAAATTTTGAGAACAAGAAATCAAGAAGATGTAATTAGAATGTTTTGTGCTGTTTTCTGTATTTAGAAGCAAGTAAATTTAGTTTTTTTTACTTCTGTTCCACAGTCACCAACTACAGCTGATAAAACCAAGACCTCAAAATAGAATGTGTTTAGTATCTTTCACCTAGTAAAATAAAGTCTGGAAAACAGTTGTCTACAACATGAAAATTCTCATACTGACAAAAAAAATTAAAGGTGTTAGTTGAAATATGTACCTGTTCAAGGTCCCACCAAACAAGAGCTGGCGTAGTTGCACATCACTTCCCACATTCATGTACTTGGCATCAGGGCAGTAACTAGAAGCCCACCTACGAAACCTGTTAGCAGCAACCACTTGTTCGGCTTTGGCCTGCTTCTCAATCTCAGCTAAATGTTCTCGATCAACCAACATTCCCTCAGTTTCCATCTTAACTAAAAGCTCACCAAACGGTCGCCAGTATTTTTCATAGAAATCAAACATGGATTTTCCAGAAATGGGGTTTCCATCGATTTCCCACGGCTTTTTGCCTAGTTGCATTTTCATGCTTTCATACAGATTTAGTGTGCTTATTGCATCTAAGGCAGAATAGCAAATCCATAATTTTCTCTCTGCTCTTTGTAGCACTTCAACAGGATCAATAATGGTCAATTTCCCTTCTTTTCCATCTGTTTTCACTTTCTTCCTGCCAAATATTGTTTTCATTGATATTTTACCAACCAAATCCTTCAAATGACACTGTTCCGCCCCAGACATGACCTTAGGGTCACGTGTAAGCGCTTCAAGAGAATAGCCTCCCTTTATCCGCCTTGATGAATCCCACAAGCGCGCCATGTGCATTGTGTCGGCGTGAAAACCGGAAAGCTTAAGCCCATAGTTCTCTATTACATGGTTATCAAAGCTGTAATTGTGCCAAACCTACAAAAAGATATCAAGTTTGTTCCTCAATCAAGCATGCACCTTGTATGCTAGTCAAACACCTACCAAGTGATTTTCCGGGCCAAAAAAGAAAGCACATACCAAGTGAAACAGTCAACAGCAGTCAACAAAATAAAGGCCAACTGGACCAGTCTTATTAAGAGACAAGGAAAACAGAGAAGAAGAAAGAAAAGAAAGATTAATACTATTTTCTAACTCATATAGTATTGTGCAATATTCGACAGACTCAAGGCCTTGATCCTTGGTTAGTCAGAAACAGAAGCTGTCCTGAAAGCAAAAATTAAAAATTAAAAAGGACGCAAAACGGTATTTCAATGAACTGCCCTGCAGTAATGGGAAAAATGTATAAAGAGAAAGGAAAAGAAAGGCTCATGAAAATAGAAAGACAGTTATCAATAATTTAATTGTGCAAAAGGACAATTGTAAATATCTGATTAATATGAAGCAAATTTGTCATAAGAGTTGCAATGTCATTATCGTAAATCAAAAGAAAGTAGTCATTTCTGAAAACTGTCACTACCCAATGATGATTATGTTGTTTTGAAGGTACTGTGAGTCAAGAGGACCTTATAAGAAAGAAAAACAACCTTTTTGATGGAGCGATCTTCAAAAAAAGGAGCAAATTCAATTAAAAGTTCCTTGCCGCCGCCATCAAGAACATCCACCCAAATACAAGACTTCCCATTTCCAAAATCCACACCTGGTCCAGAATAAATACTGAAACATATTATTTCTCCATGATCAACAGGTGTTTCTCGCTTCACTTCTATCTTAGCCACCTGTTAAAATGCTATTATTAGCAACTAGACAGTAGCCAGTAAATAAGAAATCTCGAGCAGCCAAAAACAAGCCACACATTTATTTATAAAAAGGCAAAAAGAAAGTTCAAAAAAAATGTGCAGGTATATTACACACAGAACTATATCAATCAAAGTTAAGATAAACTTGAAGTATGGATACCTCTGTGTCACAGGCATGGACAAGATTCCTGTATTGATCTGTAAGCATCTTCACAACTTTCTTTGCAACAGAGACACTATTGACAACAAGAACCTTGTCATATATGGTATTAAGCCTAATACGAAGATCTTGCTTGCAATCATTATCTGCTTTTGTAGCAGCTTTAATTGCAGAAGCTTTTGCATGAGACTTGTCCCCTTTAATCACAGCTGCAGCTTCATCTTTATTTCGTCCAGAATCAGTCCCCTTCCTGACCTTTGAGGTCTTCCCTAATTGTGACCCATTAGCCACACCCAATTGTCTTGGACCCTCAGGTGCATGACCATTGACCTTCTCCAGATTAATATTTTCAATCCTACTGGAAGTTGACACAACCAGACCATCATGTGCATAACCATTTACCTTGTCCACATGATTTCCTTCACCATTTACCTTGTCCACATGATTTGCTTCACCATTTACCTTGTCCACATGATTTGCTTCACCATTTACCTTGTCCACATGATTTCCTTCACCAGGTGTTTTATCCAATTGTCCATAATCAATTATTTTGCAATATGAGCCTTCTGAATTTTCTTCCAACTTATCACACGTACTGACATGTGTGAAACCCTCAAGCCCTTCTTGGCTATTCGTTTTAATACCTCCTGCACGGGAGACGTTCCTTCCAAAATAATTTTCCATTACTTTTTTTTCTTCTCTCAGTGCAAAAACCTTGTTGTTCCAGGCACTTTTAGTGCCATTAGATTCTCTTTCAGTATGATAGTGAACTGGATTCAAAGAGATCGTCGTATTATTTGAAAAAGTATCATGAGCAGCTTTGGCTGCACAGACCTCTGGCCTGCAATTTTCATCAATTCCAACATCAAAGGCAGCCAAAAAAAAAATCAATCAAACAGTATATCGATTTCTCCTCGCACTCTAAGTATGCAAAGGAAGCACAAAACATATTGGAGAACTTGAAACGCAACCTGGCATTCCCATAATTGTGAATTTGTACTAGAAATTTACATACATTAGCAACTAACATTGAAATCCCAAAGCCAACACCTACCCACAAAAAATTGCACATTTGAGTTTCCCCGCTTCCTCTTCCTACTCACATTCCTCCACCAATTGAAAATAAATATACAAGTAATATTGCATATGCAGTTCCCTAGAAGTCCTTACCAATACAGTCATATTAAAATGAAATTAATACAATTTTCCAATAATTCAACCAAGTAATTGAAGTATCCCTACGAAATCCAGCAAAGTCTACATGACTCGAGCCAACAAAAGAAGATAGCTCCCAAAACAAAACATTCGAGTAACTCCGCAACCATTTTTGTTTGACCCAAAACCCCAAAAACTCAAAACCTTTCACATATTAAATTGCAAATGACAAAAATAAAATTATAAACAAAACACAAGAAATAAGCAAATGGGTATGATGGAATATTAAAGAAAGGCACACAGAAAAAAATTAGAAGGAACAAAAAAAGTGAGTGGAAACAGTGCAGCCTGAGTAAGATTGAAGTGAACCTGGTACGAGTCCATAGAGACCTGGACGAAGAAGAGCGGGGGCAGGAACGGAATACGGAGAAATAAGAAGGGCAAGAAGGTCTTAAATGGCTGGTTTGGATTGAGGAGAACCCCATAGCCATGAGGTTTGAAAGAGCAACTTTGGCCAGCTTACTACTCCAACTCCAACAGGGGGTTATAGAAGCAGCCGTCTTGGAAAGCTTTGGTGGCAAATCTGTAGATAAAGTGGGTATTCGTGGGAGGTTATTTGGGGTCTGGGACTAGTGGGTCTGAGTTTGAAGCAGAAGAGCAGAGCAAGGCCATGACGAGAGAGACAGAGAGAGAGGAGAGAGATGAAGAAGGCAAAGACTGCAGAGGCTAAACCCTGGGGTTTTCTGTCTCAGAAAAATATGGGGAAGGACCCAAATATCATATGGCTGGCAAATATTTGTCTCTGCAAATTGTTAATACTAAAATCTAAAAATAAAATGGTCATTTACCATTTAAGGGTTAAAACTTTCGGATATTACAGATATGCCTTTTTTGTGGTCCTTTGGACATGTGATGCATTGGTTTGCTTTTATTTTTTATTTTTTTTTTTCAATTTAACCAATAGACAAACTAATATGTAAATATTAAACTGATTAATTCGATGGTCTTGTCTTTAGCAGGATGATGATCAAGGATCTTACATTCTCACGGTTAGAGTTCGATTCTCGTCCTTCTTTTACCAAATGAAAGAAAAAAAATATCCGGCTCACTCGCATAATATTTTATAATTAGAAACTTAAATAATAATTTTATAGATTGTGAAGATGTCTAAGAGATGATGAAGAGGGGAAAAGAAGAATTGTAGATTTGTAATGCATATGCATGGAATTAGGGTTTATGACCAGATGTCCTTATCTATCATCCTTACCGTAGTTAATAATCCTTGGCTTAACTTGCCCAAATGCAAGGAGAGGGGTTAGCTTTTTCTTGATGAAGGGTTTAGGTTTGTTGACAACGGCTGTTATTGAATTGGTTTCTGCAATTATTTCATTATAATTTACAAGTGCTTGGGGCCACTAAGGCTAATTGCTAATTTGTCGCACTGAACTACAATATTATTGGTCATACTTACTTTAATCAATCAATAATTACGTCATATTTTATTGATTTTGCTAAATTATACTTCCACCATTAAGGTTTATGAATTATCTTATCAAGCTTAATTTTAAAATTCGGTCTCACTCATTCGTATCCAAAAACTAGGTCATTCAAACAATGTCATTCTCGATAGAATGGCAAGAGTTGTGATTAGAACTCAAAAGACACCTCAATGTGTGTTTTTGTAAGATTTTCTTCTTCTTTTTTCAAGATTTTTATGTTTTTTTGCAAGTTTAAGAGTGGCGCCATTCCTCCCATTTAAAAAACTTGCAAGATAGACTACGAGGGGGTGTATTCAATCCATATTTATAAAGACTTTTATAAAATTTAAAAGTCTGGAGGTATCCGGTTGCCACTTTTAAATTTAAAAAGTATTTAAAAGTGTTTATTTTTTATTTTTTAGAATAAGTATTTAAAAGTTCAGTTGTGATTTTTAAAAATTTGTCAACTCTATGAAAGTTACTCACTTAAAAAAAATCTTCAAAAGTTTCAGTTGGATACACACATATGAATTCATTAGTAAATAGTGATTACATATATATATGAATTCATAATAAAGGAACTGACCATCAGAGCCTAAACTCACTCTTTTTGACTTGTGTGATGAAAGTTACTCAAGGTTACATATTGCTCCCCTCCATTATCGAATTGATCATCATAAAACCCTTATTTTTTTGTATTAGCTAGAACTTTTAAACTCACTCTTTTTTACTTGTATGATGAAAACTTTGGCGACATAAAAAAAGTTAGGGTCTTTGGGGGAAAGAACATATGGAGGAAGAGAGGGGTGAGATAATAATAACCTTGAAGGTGAGAACAATGTTTATTATGTTTGAATTAACGCATTTTAAGGGTATTGTAGATTTTATACGTAGATGGAAAGATACTATTTTTTATAAGTTTAATGGGGGTAGGGAAATAAGGTGGGCGAAGAAAAAGAACAAATATGTGGAAATAACTACATTCAAAGTTTAATTCTCCTCATGAACAAATAAGAAAATTATTATTTAAAATAAATCTATAGTTTTATGCACACAAAAAACCGATACGCATCTCCGTAGCTACCAAACGCAACTGTCGGTTCGTACAAATTGAATCCACATGTGATAAAAAAATAAATAGATTATAACCAGTTTGGTTTGATTTTGCATAACCAATCTAAGAATGGTTCGGTTTGGGCTCATTTCCATATGAATTTTTTCTTTTGTTGCATCTTGGGAAATTTTGGGTGAGAAATAGAATCAAAAGGGAAACAAGATAGGGTCACACACCCATGTTTAAATGCCCACCCTACCCTGCCCCAACTGTCCTTTGGCGGGCAACGTATCATTCAAATTTGTAAAGTGAGCAAGCGGCAAAGAACAATCCTGTTGTTTCTGCCACCTATGTTGCACGTGCATACAGCATGTAATTTACCATACTCCCTTGACCCTAAATATTTATAATAAAAAATTCCAAAAAACAAAAATAATATGTCTTTTTGGTGGAGACAGACAGCCTGTGCTGCATCTCCAATAGTTGTATCAACAATACTTGACAAACCTTTTTTCTTTTAGACCGGAAACACCAAAATATTAAGAATACTATATATTTTACATGTGCTCTAGTAATTTAACACATGCTATGTATGTGAGGCGGTTATTATATTGGAGAAGTCGAGAAGAATTCGAAAAAGGATATAATTGGTCATTACTATTTTGCGCTTATTATATTAAAGACACTGCTTCCCTCCTTACATGAAAAGAGACATTTTCTACTTCCTGCAAATCAAAGTTTGACACATACAAAAGTAATTCATCAAAAACACACAAAAAAGAATCTCAACACACATTCAAATTGTGATTAGCAGGAAAGTAGGAGTTTCTACTTTTAGAGAAGGAGGCAAGTATTTTCCTTATATTAACTTCCGTTTATTTAGTGTAACATAAGTCATGGCATAATTGACACTTAGTAAAAAATGGTTGGCATTGTCATTTTTCGAAATATAGTAATTTATCTTTGATTTTTTTAGGTTGAAGATCCTAATACATATATTTAGTTGATAGAGCATCATTGAAGTATATACATAGTTACATTTTTGGCATTTGATACAACAAATTAATAGCAGACAATTTGGAAATGCTCTTTCTGGCCCTTGTAATCGTTGACCTGCAAGGATGAGTTTGTTCTTCTCCTCTTCTTTTTATAGGCCATTTGGGCCTGCTTGGTTAAAGTGCCTCACCCTTAACCAATTCTTTTGTGATAGCTCATTGTCATCAACAAAATCACCAAAACTTCACCATGCTACAACCAAATGTGGACAAAAGAAGTGGTTTTTTTTTAAACAACGGCAATGGCATGGGGTTTGTTTTTACAGAGCAGCCTAGCTAGCTACAAGATGATCTTTTTTTTTTTTTTTTTTTTTTTTTTTTGTGTTGACAACGTGATCATATAGAGTTCATGAAACATTAACTCATAGGCTCCTTGTACTCTCTAGTTGTGTACCCTCCTCACCCTCAAATGCACCATCATAAGTACTCTCATCATACTCATCACCATTCTTCTCACCAGATTCAATGCAGTCTACGGTTAAATACTCTAACGCGGTTACAACGTCACTGATCAGAGGTCTTGTAGTAGCTTCCTCTTGCAGACACATTGCTGCAACAGCAAGAGCTTGGTAAAGACCCTTCATAGGGTACTTGTCTTCTAGCAATGGATCAGCCATTAATGTAAACTTCCTTCTGTCTTTAAATAATGGTTGTGCCTGCAAAAGACGATGAGTATATATCATTACTTTTTAAGTCTTCAATTCTTTATTGCAGGAAAATGAAACTTACTGTATACCTTTGTGGGATTGAAGGGTTGATAGTCTAACAAAAAATATTGCAGAACTTTGGAAGATTACAAGATTCTGAACATACCCAAGTAACTAAGTTCTGCTCCTCCGTTGGTCTGTTGTTGTCTATAACTCTTCTTCCTGTGACTATCTCCAAAAACACAACTCCAAAGCTGTAAATGTCGGATTTTGTTGTCAACTGCCCTGTCAGTGCATATTCAGGTGCACAGTAGCCATAAGTTCCCATCACCCTGGTGGATACATGAGTCTTATCCCCAGTTGGGCCTAACTTTGCCAGACCAAAATCAGAGAGCTTTGGACTGAAGTTCTCATCCAATAAAATGTTTGAAGCTTTGAAATCGCGGTATATCACAGGGGGGTTGGCTTGTTCATGTAAGTATTCAAGTCCTTTTGCTGCCCCTGCTGCAATTTTCATCCTAGTATCCCAATCCAAGGCCTTTTTCCCGGGACCTAAATCTGAGGAGCGAAGTTTTGATTGTGAACAGAACACAATTATTAAGAAATCTTGCTAATATATACTTACAGAGGCAGTTCTCAGAATGATCTTTGGTTGGAAAAAAAAAATTAGTTTTACACTAACTGAAGTGCAAAACCAAATTAGGAACTAAATTTAAACTTGTCACTCAAATAAGCGCTCAGAAAGGAAAAATCTCTAACAGATTGAGAATAGAGTAGTCATTTTCTAATGCAGATGCAAATACAATGAATTAAATTGGTGCATACCAAGAAGATGGTCCTCTAGGGACCCATTCGCCATGTACTCATATACCAAAATCCTCTGATCACCATCGGCGCAATATCCGACCAAATTGACAAGGTGGGGATGGTGAAGAAGACTCAATATCAAAACTTCTACAAGAAATTCTCTATTTCCTTGGAACCCATTCCTGTCTAGTTGCTTAACAGCAACAACCTGAACAAGTGAACAAGATGGATTATGCTCCAACTTAATCAGTGTATAATATGGAGAGATCAAATTAAGAGATGGATGGAAATGATACTCGGTCTGTGTCTTCAAGTTTCCCTTTGTAAACTCTCCCAAAACCGCCTTCGCCTAGCAAATTGTCTGGATGGAAGTTGTTAGTTGCAACGCTTAGTTCCCGGAAAGTAAAAATCTGAGCAGAAATATTTCCTTTGCCAACCTTTGCTATCTCTTCAGCTATGTACTTCCTCCTGCTGCTATCTGCATGTTAAATTCTGAAACTTAGAGGCCAACAGTTCGAACTAGCTGTTTCGTATAGGCTAGCTGCTTGTTACTAGTATACTAATCAGGATTTTCAGCCAACTTACTTTCAGAAGATGTGACAATTTGTGGTCACAATTTAGCACATTTTCAGTAAAATCATCATCAAATTTAATAAAAGGGATCATTTTACCATCAATGGTAATACGTGTGATGATACTTATATGACAAGGTGACAAGGAGTACTGAAGGTTGATTTTGTATGCTTTATCCAATCCTAGTCTTCAAAGGGAAAATTCTCCATCAAACCTAAGGCAAATAATTTTATGATTTTGTAGTAAAAATCTTCCAAATTACCAACTTAAGATTTTAAAAAAATATTTTTTATTAGCTAATAAAACTATATCCCTTAATTGTGTACAAATAATTAACAGACCAAAGTGTTAAAAGACAACATAAATCACTTACAGATGAATTCATCTGCACACAATCCCCTGCAACACATCGCATATGCTCGCCAAGGAGAGCATCCTATAATATATCCAATTTAATGGTTGAATAATAGTTCCTCATCTAAGGTCCTTACGCTAATAGAGAATAATCATACACATATGTTTTTGTTTTTGTTTTTGTTTGTTTGTCATTTATTATAATGGAGCCACTTTTTTTTTGGAAGATTTACGTCAAGAATGTTAAAAAAGAACTTACCAGTTTTGAAGGAGATGTTAGCAAATGAGGCTAAAGTTTTGGTGTCATGGTATTCCTTGATGCTCTTCTTTAATGACTTCCTGGCGATTTTCTCTTCTGACATGCAACATTGGAAGCAACTCATCATTTTCCTTCCCTCTGGCTACAACTTCAATCCGATCACAGCCACCTTCAAATTGTCATCCAAATCTTGCATGGAATCGAACATGAAATTACAAAAGTGTTTGATATGCTTCAACTCAGGAAAGAACAAGCACAGACGTGTCGAGAAATTGCTTGGAAAAAAGGGAGATATCAATCTGCTTAGCTTATCAAACACCCTTGGCTCTGGAAAAACCAGAATGCTAGTTTCTGGTCCTTCAAGAACAAGAGCTTGATCCCTCACATTGTTTCTTTTGCTTCCTCCCTCTATCCAAACCATTGAGTTCGGACAGCGAAAACAGACTTAGTCAATTTTGCTAAATAAAGAGGGGCAGACAGCTATTTGTTTTTGTTTGACAATCATAAAATGGTTTTGTTATTTTCTCTTTCTTTTTCCAATATTTCCCCATCTATTTGCGTTAATGCCAGGGCAGGCCAGAAAATACAACCTGCTATTATTTCCATCATCAAAAAGTTAACCTTCCTTTAACTGGCAAAAACCCGTCCATGCATTTCCAACCAGCTCCACATATATATCCTTCCAGAATTTTGCTGGCACTGTAAATTAATTGCTTTGACAGCAATGTTTTAACATTTAGACCATGGGATTTTCTGAGCAATCTGCTATGTTTAATTCTATGAAAATTATTAATAATTTACTCAAAACTTGAGATTACTATAGTAATTTCAAATAACCTCTCTCTCTCTCTCTCTCTCTCTCTCTCTCTCTCTCTCTCTCGGTTGTAAACTTCCATTTTGTCCATCTGCAGCCAAAAAAGAAGCTTACATTTGCACAGTTGCACAATTCAGGTCGGCAGAAACATAAACACCTAGATTTTCCTATGATTGTAACAGATTTAACTACTGATGCGGATCAGGAATTGTTTATAAATGGTTTAACAAAAGACCATTACAGCAAAATCACGGCTCTAAGTACATCCAAAGACCGTGAACCAACTAAGAAAGCAAAATGCATACATTAACAGATACCAAACCACCAAAAAGTCCATATGTGCATGAAACTTGTGCCCTGGGGATTTTGTTTCCATTCAAGTTTTTACCCCCAAAATTTTCTCAATATTCTGAACCCTCATTAGTAATCCAACTCCCTGAGTTTGATTTGTAGCATTCACCATACAGTCATCAACCGCTACCGGGTTCTTGAGAAACCCTTTAGGCATTCTTTTAGGATCATCAGCCCCCATACGGTTTTTTAGAGATCCTTTAGCCATTGCTTTCTTCCCTTCTCTTGCAGCATCTTTTCCTGATACTTTAGGTTCAATTTTATGCTTGTGCTCCATCCTGAAAGGTACACCAACTTCTACACTTGCCTTATTATCACTACCCTTCCTCCCTTTCTTAGCAATCTTCACCACATTTTTAGCAAAATCACCAGCATTTATTTTCTTAGCAAGCCCTTCAGTTGTTGTGGCCAACTTCCGTTTCTTCACATTCTTGTCCTGAACAGGTGAGGTTGAGGAAACAAATTTTGTTGGTCGGCTGGTTGTGGAAGCCTTATGTAAACAAGCTGGTTTGTTTCCAAGATGTCTCAAACGTTCTGAAAGTGGAATGTGATCATCATCCCTATAATCAAGGGGTGACTCTTTCTTAACCTGCTTAGGAAATTGAGGAGTAGCTGAGGCCTTTCTCTGTACAGTATGATTGGATTTTCCGGGCACCTCAGGAATCACATAGGAGCGGCTCTCTTCAGGTTTAGACCTCTCCAAAGTTCGTGGTGATGCCTTATGCATCTGAACATTCCTCTTCGCGATGGAGGAATTATACTTTTCAATCTTCTGTATTGCCACTTTGACATGTTTCTCGATTGTATCTGCGCGAGCAGACTTTGATATTTTCCACCAATGCAAGTACCTAGCCGATACACTCGGCTCAAAGGACCTTGGAGGGACAAAGAAACCAACATCGGTACCTGGGGCAAAATACAGTTTCAAAAATTCACCAGGAAGGTCTTGATCCATTCCAAATTGCATTGCCACGCGGTTTGGAAAATACTTCTCTATACAATGCTCTACTCCAACCAACTCAGAAGTGCACAAGCATCTAATATAAGATCGTAAATTCTCATCTGAGTGCTTAGCACTATGAAAAAATGACGGTTTGTTCTTCGTATAGTACGACGAATGGCTCCAATTGATTAAATCAGCAGCATAAGGACGCCATTGAAAATTCTCTTGCAACTTAAGAACAGTTCTTACAAGAGGAAGACTAATTGCTCCAGAAGGTAATCTGTGCCACCGGGCAGCCCGAGGCTCCCCAGGTTTCAGAGCATTTGGGGAATTCTTTAATAGAGGTTGAAACCTCTCCAAAGCCCATAACTGCAAAAGCTGAAATGGACCAGGAACAGAAATCTCCTCCCTACAAGAAAGTGCTTGTTTCTTCAACAAGCTTAGGTCTTTGTAAAGACCTGAAAGGACAGCAGGGGCAAGAGCAAGCCTCGTCCCCTGTGACAACTGTGCTGCAATGGGAAAAACATGCCTCCCTATGCAAGCTTCAGGAAGAGAAGGAAAAACAAACCTTGACAACCACAATGACAGAAATGCTACATGTTCATATTTGTACTCATTTTGCAGCTCCATGAAATGCTTGATCCAAACAAATTGGCAGGCTTTTTTCGCCTTGGTCCTCGAAATCTCTACTCTCTTCTTCTCCATCTCCTCCACAATTTCCACCAACAACCCATTAACAGGCCTTGTCACAGGCCTCCCAAGGACTGAAAATCCACCAAGAACCATCATATCTTCAAGGGTAAAAGTTGCTTCCCCCCAAGGGAAAACAAAGGTGTTGGTCTCTGAAGACCAAAACTCCACTAACCCATGTAGGATATTCTTGTTGGAACACCTAATCTCATATCTAGAACTCAAAATAGCATCACAAATCCCTGCCTGGTTCCAAATAGAACAGTACTTACCTGCAAGCCTGTTAACCCATTCATCCCATTTTGCCTGGGGCATCTTCCAGCCTTTGAAGAGAACCCTAGAGGACCATTGCTGAAGATTGTGATCCAAGACTTCACACAACAATGGGGTGCTTGGAGGTGCCACTGCTTTGTTGAAATGCAGGGCACATGGCTTGAGGAACCTTGCAACTCTCCTTGTTCGTTTCTCATCTTTTGGAGACACCATATTCTCCTCTCTCTCTTCATATATGCAGTGTGACACTTCCGCTCCCTCTTCCATTTCAAGGCTGAAAAAGATGAAGGAGAAGAAGAAGACTAAAAGAGCAGCGTATAACTCCTTTTAAGCAGAGATGATATAAAAATTTAAATAAAAATGAAATAAAAAGTTTTAGCCAATCATGTCGTCCTCCTCGTTCAAATCCAAAAACAAAAAGAAAGCTTGGGGATTGCAACACACGTTCACACATAACAACTCCAGTGGCTAGCTAGCTAGCCATTGCCGGCGTGACACATAAATGTACAGACAGGTTAACATAAAAAAAATTATGTAAAAGCATTTTAACAAGTTAGCATAAAGATGTTTCAAACCCATCACACAAAAGCACGAAACAATTCTCACTTCTTCTTTTTTCTCTCTGTGTGTTTAATCTTGAGCTTAAAGAGAGAGAAGACTTCGTGGTTGCACCAATTTCTCAAAAAACCCAAACTTTCTCAACGCACTCTGCCACGATCCATACGTTATTAACCTCCCACTTATTTCTATTCACTCCCATCTCATTTTGTAAAATCCAACGTGATGTCATGCTCATCTATCACACGATATGGGGCTCGTGAAATTATGAATCATGTACAATCCATTATATACTACAAAGTTGAGAAGGAAAGAAAAGCAGATACTTGATATCCACCTATATACGCATTGGAAACAATGCTAATATTCTCAGCTTTTTATCCCAACCAATGTGTCACCATTAACACTTTTTTGCTCAGGGAAAAAAAAAGTCAATAGTGCCAGATTGTGGTCTACATTTTCAATGCAACAATGTAGTGTAAATTAATGTCACGCAGGTAGGAAAAGAAATCGGAGTATTAAAGATGGGGAATGCTAAATATATTTCCTTATTGCCTTTTCTATTGAGTTTATGTCAAGTGTATTTTACTCATACATAAATCTATGTATTAAGAAACTTTTGTTATCTTCGCAAACCAAAAATTAATATTGTACATTAAATATATAGATCTATGTGTGAATGGAATACATATGACATAAACTGAATGGCATTAAATCTTCACTATAGATTTTCTCATTGAAAAACCAAATATATTGTAGAATTCAATGTTATAATGTTAAATCGGCTGGGATTCAGAAAGTTACTCATGATGACTCCTAAAATAACTATCAAATTTTATTTTATTTTATTTTATTTTTTTCGAGAGCAATAATGCAATTAACAATAATCAAATTGTCATTATATTTTTTGTTTTCTTCAAGACAGCCATCAATTCAAGCTTATAATATTTTTACTTGTAAACAAGTAACCCGCATGTTCTCTTTGAAGAGAAGAATAGGATAATACTATTTGTTATTTCGGCTAATAATGGTATGACAGGCGTGATAACACTTCCACATAACATGATAGTATTGGCTGGGATAGCAAAACATTCGTTGTAACTTGTGCAGAAGCCGCGTGCTTCAGTGTTTCTCCTATTTGAATGGTGGAGGAAGCCGCGCGTTTCAGTGTTCCTTTCCTTTGTGCAGAAGCCGGAAGGGCGCTAAACGGTGGACGATTATGATTGAACCTTCATTTACGTGACAGCGCAGCTGAGTAGAGTAGGCATGATGACTATCACTGTTTCAGTCTTTCAGAGCAGACAAAATAGCCTACTGTCTTTCTCAGTTTGATCCCATCGATGGAAATGGGACCCGTCAAACCAACCACTTTTCAAAACCCAATTTGTTCTTCTCTGTTTAATAATGAGATTTGATTCAGACCAAAAAAAAGAGAGAAAAATCTTGAGCTTTGGTGATGGAGAGTCCACCGGAGACCATGGTTGAAGAGAGAGAAGAGCACATGGTTTCACCTACGGGAGGAAACCCATTTCGTAAAAAAGCCTACTTTCTAAAACCCACCTTGCCATCTTGCACTGATGAACCTCCCTTTGAGCTCCCTCGTTGCTTTTCCTCCTCCCTCCCAACCCATTTTAAACCAAAGTCATGGCATTTGAATGTTGAGTTCTATGGATGGCGATCTAGCCAAGAAAATTGGAAAACTTGGGTTTATCAAATGGCACCTGTGCATCATGAAAAATGGAAGGAGGCTGGTATATACGAAGCCATCATTAGTTCAACATACGAAATAAGAAAAGTAGCCAACTTGGGTGATGGGTTTGCTGAGAAATGGTGTTCGGAGACCAATACTTTCATTTTTCCATGGGGTGAAGCAACCATCACATTGGAGGATGTTATGGTTTTGGGAGGTTTCTCGGCTTTGGGGGCCTCTGTTTTAAGCCCTCTGCAGAGCAAACAAATGAAAGAAGTCGGAGAGAAACTCATTGAAGGGCAAAAAGAAATTTACAGCAGTGGGAAGAAAGCGGTTACCAAAAACTTGTGGCTGAAGAAGTTCATGAACAGTGGGAGTGAATTCGAGCACGAAGCATTTCTGGCCTTTTGGTTGTCCAGGTATGTTCTTGTTGGTTCTCGTAATTCAATACAGAATTCTGTTTTCTCTGTTGCAATCCATTTAGCTAGGGGGACCCGAATTGCGCTTGGACCGGCTGTTCTTGCTAGCATTTATAAAGATTTGAGCTTGTTGAAAAAGGCAATTGTAGGCTCAAAGGAATTAGATTTCACCCTCAAGCTGAAGTCACCATTTCATTTAGTTCAGGTTTGGGCATGGGAAAGATTCTCAGAACTTAGGCCAGAAAACCCAAATCCTATAAACTCTTCTGAGCCAAGAATGGCTAGATGGGATAAAGTGAACGGCGTGAGAGTTGAAAACTTAAGAAGGGTTTTAGACTCAGCCAGAGAAAATTTCCTGTGGCGCCCTTATGCCTTGGTCACTGATAACTGGCATATCCCTAAATACTATCCACAAGAGGAAATGTGGGTTTTGATTGGACCTGATGTGGATGATGAATTGCTCTCATATGTGAGATGCTTGAGGGCCAGTGAGCTAGTTGGACTTTATACCATAGACATAGAGCATTACCTTCCGCACCGGGTCGCTATGCAATTTGGATATGATCAAGACCTTCCATGTTCTGTTACTCGAGCTAACTGCAATTTGGATACAGCCTGGGACTACAACAAGGAAATCAAGAATGTAAAATTGTATCTTCCATCTAGACTTGTGGAGGCTGATGTTACCACAAAGTACTTGAAGTGGTGGAAGCAATCAGTGTCAGGTCTTGAAGATGCAAGGGAAGCTGCTGTGCCAGGAAAAAAGGGAACAAAGAGTTTGAAATGTTTGCTACCGAGGGCTAACCACCCCTCTGTACCTCCTGGTTTTCCTCCCAAACGTAAAAGAATGGAAGCTGAAGATCCTATTGATGAGGATGAACTAACTGTATCACAGCTTTTGAAATTTCGCAAGAAGCATGAGAGCTTTGGGATTATACAAGGTAGTGACAGTGAGAAATTATCAAGTCAAGCTCAACATTTTGCATCTCCAATTGCACAAAAAAGCTATGTTAATACCATGAAGTCAGATGAGAACATTGTAAACCTCGTCGGCGATGAATGTGTTGGCAGTAGTTCTTTATTTCAGAAACGTCAGCTGGTGCTTGGAGCTAGATTTGAAAGGCTTGCAACTATGGTTGACGAGTTAAAGGCACGTAGATTGGGGAACAAGGTTTAGGAAACGCTTATGAAAGAAGACCTCCTTTGAGTTGGTATGTCCGAAACCTGGCTTTTATTACTGTGTTTTTGCTTAAACATCAGTGATGAATACATTCTTTTTTCTTCCTAAATTACTTTATATTTGCAAAATTTGTAATTGCAGTAAAATTTTTTATCCATCTAATGGCTTCATACATTTGACTTGATTTTTGTTTGCTTACTTGTCTGAAACTCGATTCTCTTTGTTTGTTCGCTGAATGAGAAGTTTGAACATACAAACTTGATTAACTGTTTCAGTAGAATGAAAAGGCTCAACGTTCTGAATAGTGAACAACTGATCGCATGTTAACGGACAAGCAATTTTAGGTGAATGTTCACTTCTAGTTAGAAGATTTTTCTTCTAAGCAGTGCTATTTATGCTCAAAGAAGCTAGGAAACTAAGAGAAGAAAACTCACAAATGATATATGTTACAACTCCCAAAGTCATTAAGCTTCTACTTATGTATAAAATCAGTGTTAACTGCATTTCTTATTTCTTTACCAGTTGTTTTCTTCCTATATCGGTATTTGCTAGTTGACATGTCAAGTTGAACGGAATCTTATTAGCTTCCACATTACAATTCCATTGTATTTTTGTTGTAATATGGTATCAACCTCTTCAAATCGCGAGTTAAGGGTTTTTCTTTTTCTGGTGCAGGGAAAATGGAGGACGAGAATCGAACTCTTGAAATATCAGAAACTTGGTCTTTTGTATATATTCTATGCAGAGCTTATAATGCTGCCGGAATCTTTTGGTAACAACTTAACCTGTTGATCAAAGCCTTGAACCTACATTACGATCTTACTGAACATGCTACCTAACAATGTGCTATGTCAACCAAAGAAGTTAATAGTTTTTTGTTTTAATGACCATGAAAACAGAATTCTTGAGTCCACTTTTGTTATTCAACCATCTTCTGAACTTGTGGAGTTGAGTTTTTTTATGGTGGTTTGAGGAATTCTAGTCTTCGGTATTTTCGTGGCATGAAGCTTCTTAATCTAAGTAAGTATTGCTGTAATTTCTCCAGCAGCTCTTGGATACTATCATAAACTTCAGTTTTCTAAACAACTGAATGGTGGAACTATGTTTTTTCTAGTTACAAATTTCAATGGTTTTGTGGTTTGAAACTATGCACCTCTGTTTGTATCAAATGCTTTTGCAGTTAAAAAAAGAAAAAGAGAATCAATTCATTAGTTAGGAGAGGAACTTTAAAACCAAGAATCACAATCAGTGGAAAAGAATTCCAATGTGCTTACTTACAAGAGCAAAGATGGGCTGGCCACAGTGCCGTTACGCCATTTGCAATAGAAGTTGCAGGGGACCCTGCGTAAAATCACCAAAATCAAATTAAATTTGCACTACCTGTTCACTCCATGAGTTTATTCTATAATATCTCTACACAGCTTTATAAATTACAAATCACAACATCGATGAACTGCTAGTATCCTTTATGTTTCACTCCCATCTCATTTTGTGAAATCATGTACAATCCATTATATACTAGAAAGTTGAGAAGGAAAATAAAGCATATCCACTTATATGCACCGAAAACAAAGTAAGGGTCTGTTTGATATTCAATTTAATTCAATTTTTTTAACTCAAAAACATAATTTGAGTCTAAAACAAAGAAAACCTGTTTGGTAGCCTTATTTTTAAAAACTCAAACTAAAAAACAACTAAAACACACCCCAATTATTAAAAACAAAAAATAGCTGTTTTTTCAATTCTTTTCTAACAACCCACAAGTTCTCAAATTTTTAAGATTTGAAAACAGTTTTCAAGTTGCATACCAAACAAGTTTTTGAATATTAAAAATAGGTTTAAAAACTCATTGTTTTTAAGAAAAATCAAAGTTTTTGAGTTCCTTATTTGAATAGGATAACAAACGCCCACTAAAATTCTCAGCTTTTTATCCCAACCAATGTGGCACCATTAACATTTTTTTTTTTGCTCAGGAAAAAACAAAGTTAATAGTGCCAGATTGGGGTCTATATTTTCAATGCAACAATGTAGTGTAAATTTATGTCACATAGGTTGGAAAAGAAATCGGTGTATTAAAGATGAGGAATGCTGGATACATTTCCTTATTGCCTTCTCTATTTAGTTTATGTTAAGTGTATTTGACTCACACATAAATCCATGTATTAAGAAACTTTTGTTCTTTTCGAAGACAAAAAATTAGTATTGTACATTAAATACATATATTTATGTGTGAGTGGAATATCTGTGACATAAACTGAATGAGAAAAGCAAGACGGTAAATGCAATATTAGAGAAGATAGCTAGCAATCTTCATTATAGATTTTCTCATTAGAAACCCAAATATGTTGTAGAATTCAATGTGATAACAAGGTCATGACATGTGTGGTACTCTTTCCTCTCTTGGGGTCTCATGAGATTGTCCTAAGAAAGTTTTAACGAGGCTACTATATCGTGTCACTCTTTGTACATCTTTAATTTTATGAATGAAATCTCTTTCTTAAAAAAAAAAATGATAATGTCAATTTGGTTGGAATAAAAAATTAAAAACTGTAGCATTGCCACTCTCTCTGGAAGTGATTATAGAATACAAATAACTATCAAATAACTATTCAGAAAGTTACTCATGATGGCTCCTAAAATAACTATAAATTTTATTTCATTTTTCTTCCGGAGCAATAATGCAATTTCTTTGTTTTATTTTTTTTGGTTTGAAGGAATAATGCAATTAGCAACAATCAAATTGTTCAGGACAGCCTTAATAAATAAATAAAAATTGTTCAGGACAGCCATCAATTCAAGCATTTAATATTTTTACTTCTAAAAAAGTAACCAAAAATGTTCTCTTGAAGAGAAATACTTGCATGAAACGGAAATAACACTATTTTACTACCTTGGTAAATAATACTATGACACGTGTTATAATATTTTCACCTGGCACAACTGTATTGGCCGGAATAACAAAAATATCCGTTGTAATTTAAATGGTGGAGGAAGCCGCGTTTCAGTGTTCCATTTAAATAGAAGGCGTCATATCATTGAACCTTCATTAACGTGACAGGAGGCGTCATATCATTGTTTCAGTCTTCCAGAGCAGACAAATAGCCTCCCGCCTTACTCAGTTTGATTCCATCAATGAAATTGGACCCGTCAAACCAACCATTTTTCATATTACTCAATAAAGAAGTTAAATGGAAATGGAACGAATTTTCAAAACCCAATTTGTTCTTTTCTGTTTAATACTGAGCTTTGATTCAGACCAAAAACAAAAGAGAAATGTCTTTAGCTTTGGTGATGAAGAGTCCACCGGAGACCATGGTTGAAGAGAGAGAAGAGTACATGATTTCACCTACGGGAGAAAACCCATTTCGTAAAAAAGCCTACTTTCTAAAACCCACCTGGTCATCTTCCATTGATGAACCTTCCTTTGAGCTCCCTCGTTGCTTTTCCTCCTCCCTCCCAACCCATTTTAAAAGTAAGGCATGGCATTTGAAGGTTGAGTACTATGGATGGCGATCCAGCACCAGCCAAAAAAAATGGAAAACTTGGGTTGATCAAATGGCTTCAGTGCATCATGAAAAATGGAAGGAGGCTGGTATATATGAAGCCATCATTAGTTCAACATACGAAATAAGAAAAGTAGCCAACTTGGTTATTGGGTTTACTGAGAAGTGGTGTTCTGAGACCAATACTTTCATTTTTCCATGGGGTGAAGCAACCATCACATTGGAGGATGTTATGGTTTTGGGAGGTTTCTCGGCTTTGGGGGCCTCTGTTTTAAGCCCTCTTCAGAGCAAACAAATGAAAGAAGTCGAAGAGAAACTCATTGAAGGGCAAAAAGAAATTTACAGCAGTGGGAAGAGAACGGTTACCGAAAGCTTGTGGCTGAAGAAGTTCATGAACAGTGGGAATGAATTCGAGCACGAAGCATTTCTTGCCTTTTGGTTGTCGAGGTATGTTCTTGTTGGTTCTCGTAATTCAATACAGAATTCTGTTTTTTCTGTTGCAATCCATTTAGCTAGGGGGACCCGAATCGCGCTTGCACCGGCTGTTCTTGCTAGCATTTATAAAGACTTGAGCTTGTTGAAAAAGGCAATTGTAGGCTCAAAGGAATTAGATTTCACCCTCAAGCTGAAGTCACCATTTCATTTAGTTCAGGTTTGGGCATGGGAAAGATTCTCAGAACTTAGGCCAGAAAACCCAAATCCTATAAAGTCTTCTGAGCCAAGAATGGCTAGATGGGATAAAGTGAATGGTGTGAGAGTTGAAAACTTAAGAAGGGTTTTAGACTCAGCCAGAGAAAATTTCCTGTGGCGCCCTTATGCCTTGGTCATTGATAACTGGCATTTCCCTAAATACTATCCACAAGAGGAAAGTGGGTTTTGATTGGACCTGATTTGGATGATGAATTGCTCTCATATGTGAGATGCTTGAGGGCCAGTGAGCTAGTTGGACTTTATACTATAGAGTATTACCTTCCGCAACGGGTCGCTATGCAATTTGGATATGATCAAGACCCTCCATGTACTGTTACTCGAGCTAACCACAATTCGATTTCAGCCTGGGACTACAACAAGAAAATCAAGAATGTAAAATTGTATCTTCCATCTAGACTTGTGGAGGCTGATGTTACCACAAAGTACTTGAAGTGGTGGAAGCAATCAGTGTCAGGTCTTGAAAATGCAAGGGATGCTGCTGTGCCAGGAAAAAAGGGAACAAAGAGTTTGAAATGTTTGCTACCGAGGGCTAACCACCCCTCTGTACCTCCTGGTTTTCCTCCCAAACGTAAAAGAATGGAAGCTGAAGATCCTATTGATGAGGATGAACTAACTGTATCACAGCTTTTGAAATTTCGCAAGAAGCATGAGAACTTTGGGATTATACAAGGCAGTGACAGTGAGAAATTATCAAGTCAAGCTCAACAATTTGCATCTCCAATTGCGCAAAAAAGCTATGTTAATACCATGAAGTCAGATGAGAACATTGTAAACCTTGTCAGCGATGAATGTGCTAGCAGTAGTTCTTTATTTCAGAAACGTCAGCTGGAGCTTGGAGCTAGATTTGAAAGGCTCCGAACTAAGATTGACGAGTTAAAGGCACGTAGATTGGGGAACAAGGTTTAGGAAAAGCTTATGAAAGAAGACCTCCTTTGAGTTGGTATGTCCGAAAACTGGCTTTTATTACTGTGTTTTTGCTTAAACATCAGTGATGAGTACATTCTTTTTTCTTCCTTCATTACTTATATTTGCAAAATTTCTAATGGCAGCAAATTTGTTCATCCATCTAATGGCTTTGCGATAGATGCTACATTTGACTTGATTTTTGTTTGCTCACTTGTCTGCATCTGGATTCTCTTTGTTTGTTCGCTGAATGAGAAGGTTGAACATGCAAACTTGATTAACTGTTTCAGTAGAATGAAAAAGCTCAACATTCTGATAGCAAACAACTGATCGCATGTTAACGGACAAGCAATTTTAGGTCAATGTTCACTTCTAGTTAGAAGATTTTTCTTCTAAGCAGTGCTATTTATGCTCAAAGAAGCTAGGAAATTGACAGAAGAAAACTAACAAATGATATATGTTATAACTCCGTCTTGTAACTTATGATGCAACCTTGTGAAGTATTTTGACACACCCAAAGTCATTAAGCTCAAAGAAGCTAGGATGAAATATGGAATCATCCTCTTCAAATCGCGAGTTACAGGTTTTTCTTTTTCTGGTGCAGGGAAAATGGAGGACGAGAATCAAATTCTTGAAATAGCAGAAACTTGGTCTTTTGTAAATATTCTATGCATAGCTTTTAACGCTGCTGGAATCTTTTGGTAACAACTTAACCTGTTGATCAAAGCCTTGAACCTACATTACGATCTTACTGAATATACTACCTAACAATGTGCTATGTCAACCAAAGAAGTTAATAGTTTTTGTTTTAATGACAATGAAAACAGAATTCGTGGCACGAAGCTTCTTAATCTAAGTAAGTATTGATGTAATTTCTCCAGCAGCTCTTGGATACTATTGTAAACTTCAGTTTTCAAAACAACTGAATGGTGGAACTATGTTTTTTCCAGTTACAAATTTCAATGGTTTTGTTGTTTGAAACTATGCACCTCTGTTTCTATCAAATTCTTTTGCAGTTCAAAAAAGAAAAAGAAAAAATCAATTCATTAGTTAGGAGAGGAACTTTAAAACCAAGAATCAAAATCAGTGGAAAAGAATTCCGATGTGCTTGCTTATATTGTGGAAGAAATTTAGGCCTATTTGGTATCCTACTCAAAAAAGTAAATTTAAAAATTATGATTCTTTTTAACAACATGAGTTTTCAAATAGTGATTTTAAGGTCTAAAAACTTGTTTGGTATTGAACTCCAAACTAATGTTAAAATCTAAAAATAATTGAAATTAAAATCAGAAAATCAAAAAGATTTGCAAATTGAAATTAACAAAAGAAAAGGAGAGAGAGAGAGAGATACACTACTAAAATATATGGTTTTTAGCACAATTGTTATTTGTGTTCTTTAATGCAAAAAGGCGCCATTATTCGTGCTCTATACGGATGGCCACAATGCAGCCACTTTAAAATAGTCGGTTTCCTCTGTAGGAGTTTCCATAGTTCATAGGGCACGATTTAACTTTTTCGTGTCCTAAACTTAATACTTTGGGCATATATATGACATATATCTGACAACATTAATTGCTACTTTTGATTTGACTTTTGTACATACACACAAAACCATTCATCCGTGCCCAATGTCTTTACTTTTTAAAAAAAAAAAAAAAATAGGGTTGCCAACCACCGCCACCTCTTACATCCCTCCACCAGCCAAATCAGCATCACTTCGCCTCTTTCTCTTTCTCCACCGCCGCCACTCTTTCTCTCTCTCTTTCAAGTAATGCAAACACAATGAGCTCACTAAAATTTAAATTTTCAAACGAAACTCACGCAAATAAATACAGAATTAGATTTAAGAATTGGGTATAAATGAAAATTATGCAAATATAAAATTAGCGCACCAAATTAAAAATATCAACATCTAATTCTTACTTACCTTCTTCCAATACAATCAAGGCCAAATTTCTCTGTCTAACAATTGGAACAGTGAACAACTACAAACTTGTTAGGCTTGTCCTACAAAACGCGAACGTTTCATTTTCGTTCATTTCACAAAGAACGTATTCGACCATCCATAAGAATTTAGAGTAGCACCCATAGAGAGAGAGAGAGAGAGAGAGAGATAGAGAGAGAGAGAGAGAATGAATCAAATTTAAGATATCACCTCTTCAATTTACAATGTTCATGGGATTATTGGAATCGTTGTCTCCATCTAATCGATCTCTTTGAATTTTCTTATTTTTGGTCCTATTATTCAGCTGCACCAAGTACTTTTTACAGTGGGGATGCTGTGGTTGGAGAGGTGAGAAGGATAAGGAAGATGGGGTAGAAGGGAGCATCGGTAAAATCGAAGGAGGATGACAACAAAGAAGGTCATTTGAACTTCTAGAGATAAAGTTACGGCCTTGGGGAAAGCAAAGGGTAGAGGAGGAGTATGGGGGAAGGCCATGTTTTTTTCTCCTAAGAGGAGTTGATAACTAGAATAAATTTTTATTTTTGAAGTAAATAAAATCTGAAGGCACAAAAAAAAAATTCATGTCGTATGGAAAGCACAATTAATCATGTTTTTAAACTATAATAATTACTCTCATTAACAATAAGGTAACAAGATGAAAGCTGATATTAACATTGGACACAAAAGTCGTGTCCAAATTTCAATAGGCACAAATATATTTGTTCTTAGACACACATTCACTATGTCTTTTGTGTAAAAGACATCTTTGAGAGAGAGAGAGAGAGAGAGGAAAAAAATATTATAAAATTTCACTTTTATTGTTTTTAATAACGGGGATTTTTGAGTTTTTCTTGAGTTTGAGTTTTTAAAAATTGACCTACCAAACAGATTTTTGTAGCTTTTGGATTTAAAATATGTTTATGAGTTTATAAAATTGAATTTAAATAGGATACCAAACATGCCATTTTAACGGAAAAGTTGACTGAAATGACAGAAATAATGATTTCTAAAAATAAAGACATAATTAAAGTACTACCGTAATAATTTAGCAATATAAAGAACGAAAAGTAAAGTTTTCTTAGCCCACCTACAATTTAGCCTATAAAGAAAGTAGAAATGAAAGATGAAAAGGCCTCAGCAGCACCAGATATTTTGAAAGAAAAGATGAAGTCCCGTCTCTCACAGTGCTCTCCTTCCTTCGCGCAGAAGGCAGAAGCGCTCCAAACCGTCGACGTGGAAAATTATAATTGGTCGTTTGTCACTGAGCTGAGCATTTATGAAGCAGAATAGACCAGCCCTCATATCGTTTGTTTCGGACCAAACCAAAAACAGAGTAGTCATGCTTCTTTCTCATACAAACTCTGTTTTATTCCCTCAATGGAAATTGGACCCGTCAAATCATTTTCTTTACTCATCAAAACTTTTTCAAACCCCATTTCGCAGCAGAAATTACCCAGCTTCATTTCCCCCTAAACCCAAAAGGCCAAAATTTTCTCAGGAAAAAAGGAAAAAAAGAAGAAAAACCTCCCATTTTCTTGAGTTTTTTTCCTTGAGCTCTGATGGAGAATCTAGAAGACTTTATGGTTGAAGAGAGAGAAGAGTACATGATTTCACCAACTGGTGGAAACCCATTTCTCAAAATAGCCTGCTTTCTAAAACCCACTTCGTCATCCTCCATAAATGAGCCTCCCTTGAAGCTTACTCATTGTTTCTCCTCCCTCCGATCACATTCTGAGCCAAACAAATGGCCTTTGAAGGTTCAATTTCGTGGATGGTCGCCAGGCCGAGAAGATTGGAAAACTTGGGTTGGTCAAATGGCTTCTGTTCACCAACCCACATGGGAGAAAGCTGGTATATACGAAGCAATCATTAACTCAACGTACCATATAAGAAGAGAGAACGATTTGGTTTATGGGTTCGCTGAGAAATGGTGTTCAGAGACCAATACTTTCATTTTCCCATGGGGTGAAGCAACCATCACATTGGAGGATGTTATGGTTTTAGGGGGTTATTCTGTTTTGGGAGACTCTGTTTTGAGCCCTCTTGAAATCCCACGACTGAAACAAATTCAAAAGAAACTACTTGAATTGAGAAAAGAGATTTGCAAGAGTGCAGGGGTAAAAGACGTTTCCACAAACTTATGGCAGAAGGAGTTCATGAACAGTGGGAATGAATTCGAGCACGAAGCATTCCTTGTATTTTGGTTGTCCAGGTATGTTTTTCTTGGTGCTAATTATCTGATACATACCAGAGTTTTCTCCATTGCAATTCATTTAGCTATGGGGACCAGAATTGCCCTTGCGCCGGCTGTTTTGGCTAGTGTTTATAGAGATTTGGGTTTGTTGAAAGGGAAAATTGTAGCTTCAAACCAATTGAAAATAGATGATGCTTTTATAGAACTCGTCCTTAAGTCACCATTTCAATTAGTTCAGGTTTGGGCATGGGAGAGATTCTTGGAACTTAGGCCAAAGCCCAATTGTATCAATTATGCAGAGCCAAGAATGGCTAGATGGGATAAAGTAAACGGCCCGAAAGTTCAAAACTTGAGAATGGTTTTAGACTCAGCTGGTGGAGATTTCCAGTGGCGCCCTTATGCCATGGCCATTGAGAACTGGAATTTGCCTAAATGCTATCCACACAGGGAAAAGTGGGTTTGTGTTGGTCCTGATTTGGATGATGAGTTACTGTCATTTGTTAGATGCTTGAGGGTCAGTGAGCTAGTTGGACTTGGTACTATAGAGAATTACCTTCCGCATCGCGTAGCTATGCAATTCGGATATGATCAAGACCTTCCGTGTTCTGTTTCTCGACCTAATCACAATTCTGATATAGCCTGGAAACATTACAAGAAGGAAATCAAGAATGTAAAGTTGTATCTTCCATGCAGACTCTTTGAGGCAGACGTTAGCACAAAGTACTTGAAGTGGTGGAAGCAATCAGTTTCAGGTGTTGAAGAAGACGCTGTGCCACGAAAAAAGAGAACGAAGAGAGTGAAATTGTTAGTACCGCCTGGTTTTCCTCCCAAACGTAAAAGAATGGAAGCTGAAGATCCTATTGATGAGGATAAACTAACTGTGTCAGAGTATTTGAACTACTGTAAGAAGCATGAGAACTTTGGGATTATACAAGGTAGTGACAGTGAGAAATTATCAAGTCAAGCTCAACATTTTGCATCATCTCCAATTGCGCAAGAAAATTATGTTAATACCATGAAGTCAGATGAATTTCAGAAACGTCAGTCGGAGCTTGAAGCCAGATTTGAAAGGATTAAAAACGTTGTTGACGAGTTAAGGGCATATATATTTTAGGAAAAGCTTATGAAAGAAGCCCCCCTATGAGTTGGTATGTCCTAAACCTGGTGCAGGGACAATGGAGGAAGAGCACCCAACTCTGGAAATAGCAGAAACTTGGTCTTTTGTACATATTCTATGCATTGCGTATGCTGGAATCTTTTGGTAACTACTTAACCTGTTTATCAGAGCCTTGTATATGCCTAGATTTTGTAATTAGGATCTCTTGCCGAGCAAACTAAAAATGTGGTTTGTCTATCAAAGAAGTTAATGTTACTTTTAATGGCTCTAATGTCCAACAAACAATATAACAGGCACTATGTTTATCCATATATTCTGACCATGTAAACAAAATTCATGAGTCCACAGATCTTGATGGCATGTTTACTAACTAAAATGAGAGAAGTCATGAATCAGCGAACTAAGAATAGAGTAAGGAATTGGAATCAGATGAACGGTTTTAAAAGTATTTGATTAGGGATTTAAACATGGATCCCACATAGTTTTATTTTATTCTTTATGTGTTAGTGGCATGTCGGGAAAGAGAGTAAACACAGGGAAAAAAGGAATTGAAATAATTCTAATACTCATTCCTGAATGCAACAAAATTCAGTTACGTTTATCAACTTCCTCTGAAATTGTAGTTAATAATACAATGGATCAATTACAAAATCTATAGGCTTTTTCTTTGTACCTCCTAATTCTACCCTTCCCCTTCTAAATCTATAGGGAAATGCTAGTTTGAATATCATAGCCACCTAATTTCTAAGACACCCAAAATGCGTGAAATAGCATTTTTGCAAAAACAGAACAAATTCGTGACATCGTTAAATAATTTCATAATTTTAGCGTTCAATCAAAATTTTAGGTTTGCCTATTTATTCATAATAATTTAATGACTAAACGATTTCTAATTTTATTAATTTTTTTTGCAAAAATGATCTTTAAAGGGCGTCACAGAAAATGAACTAATCCAATCATCTAACTACATTTTAACTACGCATAAAAAAAACTAAATTTTAACTACTCAAATCCATTATATTTGTAACAATCTGTCAAACACAACCATAGTCTTACTTACCCAAAGAAACAAAGGAAAAAAAAAGAGAGAGAATGGCAGGCATAGTCTTTCACGCACCCAGTATTGCTTGGTACAGACGGAAGATTCTGATTGGACGTTCTCCACTGAGCTGAGCCTTCATGCAACAACGTAGCAGAAGCCCTCATTTTGCTGTCTTGGACCGGACAGATGAATCTGTCTTACTCACGTGAACTCTGTTTTATTCCATCAATGGAAACCCCATTTCACAGCATACCAGCATACAACTGAATCAGCCCCTAAACCCCCAAAAGACCAAAACTTTCTCAGTAAAAGAAGAAACGAAAAATCCCCCATTTCCCTTTGTGTTCAAGCTTGAGCTTTGGTCATGGAGGTTCCTCAAGACTCCATGGTTGAAGAGAGAGAAGAGTACATGGTTTCACCGACTGGTGGAAACCCATTTCTCAGAAAAGCCTACTTTCTCAAACCCACTTTGCCATCCTCCGCAAAGGAACCTCCTTGGAAGCTGCCTTATTGTTTCTCCTCCCTCCCATCCCATTTTGAGCCAAAGAAGAAATGGCCTTTGAAGGTTAAATTCCCAGGATGGCGTAGGATCTCAGAAGACTTCATAACTTGGGTCGACCGCTTAGCTTCTGTACACGAATCTACATGGAAGAAAGCTGGTATTTATGAAGCAATTCTTAGTTCAAGGTACGAAATAAGAAGGCAAGGCGATTTGGCTTGTGGGTTTGCTGAGAAATGGTGCTCTGAGACCAATTCCTTCATTTTTCCATGGGGCGAAGCAACAATCACGTTGGAGGATGTTATGGTTTTAGGAGGTTTCTCGATTTTGGGGCACTCTGTTTTAAGCCCACTTGAAACCACAGAATCGAAAGAAATTGAGGAGAAACTAAATAAAGAAAGAAGAACACCTTACAGGGATGTGTCTAGGGATGTTCTTGCAAGCGAATGGTTGAAGAAGTTCAGGAACAGTGGGACCGAATTCGAGCATGAAGCTTTTCTTGCCTTATGGTTGTCGAGGTTTGTTTTTCAAGGTTCTAGTTGTGGAATACATAAGCATGCTATATCCATTGCAATTCATTTAGCTTGGGGGACCAGAATTGCCCTTGCACCTGCTGTTCTTGCTAGCATTTATAGAGATTTGGGTTTGTTGAAAAGGGAAATCGTAGCTTCAAACCAATTGAAAAGAGGTCGTGCTACTTCAGAGGCTATTCTTAGGTCACCATTTCAGTTAGTTCAGGTTTGGGCATGGGAAAGGTTCTCGGAACTTAGGCCAAAGCCCAATGATATTAATTATACTGAGCCAAGAATGGCGCGATGGGAAGGAGTTGATGGTCTCAAAGTCAAAAACTTGAGAATTGTTTTGGACTCAGCTGGAGAAGATTTCATGTGGCGCCCCTATGCCATGGCCATGGAGAACTGGCATTTACCTAACTATTATCCACTTAAGGAAAAGTGGGTTTTGGTTGGTCCAGATTTGGATGATGAATTACTGTCCTTTGTTAGATGCTTGAGGGTCAGTGAGCTAGTAGGACTTGGTACTATAGAACACTACCTTCCTCATCGCGTTGCTATGCAATTTGGATTTGATCAAGAACTTCCATGCTTTGTTACCCGTCGTTGCAATGCTGATGTAGCCTGGAAGCATTACAACAGGGAAATCAAGAATGTTAAGTTGTATCTTCCACCTAGGCTCTTCGAGGCGGATGTTAGCACAAAGTACTTGAAATGGTGGAAGCAATCAGTGTTAGGTCTCGAAGATGCAAATGAAGCTGCTGTGCCACAGGAAAAGAAAGATCAGAGTGTCACTTGCTCGCTACTAAGGGCTAACCACACCCCTGCACCTCCTAGTTTCCCTCCCAAATGGGACAGGATGGAAGCTCCTATAAATGAAGATAAACTAACTGCATCAGAATTTTTGAAATATAGTAGGACTAAGAAGCATCGAAATTTGGAGATTAGACAAGATGGTGACAGTGATAAATTATTATCAGATAAAGTCCAATTGGCATCTCCAATTTCAGAGAAAAAATTCAATACGGACATGGTAAGCATCGTCGGAAATGAATGTCATAGCCGTAGCTCTTTATTTGAGAAAGGTCTATTGGAGTTTGAGAAACGAGATTCAGAGCTTGAAGTTAGGTTTAAAAGGCTTGAAAGTGTGGTTCAGGAGTTAAAAGCACATAGGTTGATCAAAGACAGCCCTCCGTTGAGTTGGTATTCCTAAACTTGATTATTGCTACTGTGTTTTTGCTTCAATATCGTTGATGGATACCTTTTTTTTCCTTTTTTCATGACTTATGTGAGCAAATTTGAAACAAAAGCACACTTTTCATCCATTGTGTTTGTGTTCTATGCTGCTTCTGGATTTTGTTTGTTTGTTGGCTGAATGAGAAGGTTGAGCATGAAAATTTGATTTTTTTTAACAAACTAGTCACTTTTTAAGTGGAATGAAGTAGTGCATCCTGAAAAATTTGAATGACGGGTCACAAGTAAACAGAGACAAGCCCTTCAGGTTTAAGTTCAATTTTAGTTAAAGTATTTTCTTCTAAACAATGCTATTAATGCTCTAAAAAGAAGCTAGGGAACTGACGGAAGAAATCTCACACTTGATACAAAACTATTGTAATCCCGTTGCCCAAGTTCGATTGTGATCTATCTTATCCAATAACCCTGCATACTGTAAAAATAATATAGTGCGGAAACTCAAGTCTTATAACTGATGGCGAAACCTTGTGAAGTAGTTTAAGACACTCAAAGTCATTAAGTTTCAGCAAGATATCGACCTAACGATCAAGAGTTAAGTTTTTCTCTACTATTTTTTTTGGGTGCAAGGAAATCAGAGGAAGAGAGTTGGACTCTGGAAATATCAGAAACTTGTTGTTTTATGGATTGCTTATAATGCAGCTGGAATCTTTCTGTGTCTACTTAACCTGTCCATCAAAGCTGTGAACCCACATTTACAAATCGATTGTGATCTTACTGAAAATACTATCAAAACATTGTTGTTTGTCAACCAAAGAAGCTAGTTATTTTTAATGGCTCTATTGTCCAGGAAACTACATCACTGTCACTGATCTTGAATACAAACAAATTCAGTTCCATTTCTATTTCTGTTATACAACATGATATGGAATTTTCTCTTGAACTTGTGGAGTAAAGTTTTTGGTTTCAGGAATCAATCACACAGCACATACTTGTGTGTTATATCTAGCATATAAATTTTTTTGGCATGCCTAATTAAAAGATGTACAATACGCTAGGCAGCGGAATGTTTCTGCTTTTATCTTTGACAGATTTTTTGTAAACTGATGTTTTAAGCTCATCAAAATACTGGATTTATTTATTTACGGTATAGTGAGATTAAGATTCTGGTCTGAAATACTGAAAGATTCTGGTCACTCTCGACAACAAAAGTGGGGGAAATTTTGACTTGATAGCCGGCATCATTTACAGTGATTGATGTCAAACGGCCATTACTACAAGCTATCCTAAACCAATTCAGGGGGAATGCATCGGAATCAAAGGACTTTGAATCCATGAAACAAGAACTTTCCCAGAAGTCTGCATTACACCTTGTCTGTATAATGTATATGGCCAAACTTTACCTGGAAAGTAAGTGTACACATACACCCAATGGAAAGTAATAGTTTCCACTTTAGAGCCAGTATGTTGTTTTAACACAGTAACCAACTTCCTCAAACAGATAGAAAATATAGAGCCAGAAACAAATTCCAATTAGAGAACAAACAGAAATAGAAACTTCAATAATATCATTCAACTTGGAAAAAATTTGTTAATTCAGAATCACATCCTCGATTTCTTTATTCTCAGAAATTAAAGAATTGCTAATCAATCAATTACAAAGTGGAAACTGTACATCATATCATATACAACAAAGCCAAGGTGGCCAGTTTCTATACTTCAAGAGCAGATCTCGGCTTCCTCCCACCAGATCTCTCCTTCCTCCCAATCTCCATTCAAAAAGGCCTCCTCGTCCTGACCTTGCAACTCATCATCTTCCCTGAGGAATACACCCAATTTCTTAAGCGGCAATCCAAGGCGGACCTGTAGAAAAGGATCTTCGCTGCCACAGCCACACAGCATCTCAAGTTGTTTGAGATCCTGTAAAGGGTCCTCAAATTGCACTGACTTCTTCATGTTCGAAATGGCACGGCGAGCCAACTCCCTTTGCTTCATCCGCTGCATCGATTTTCTCCTTGGTGGAGAATCAGGTACACCCATAAGTATCTTGTTTGCTTTCAATATTGTACCTGAAAATCGTAGCTTTAGTGCATGAATTCGGACAGCCTCACGTTGGGAAAGATTCTCTGAGGCCTGATCCATGGCATTATCAACAAGGGTGGCCAACTCATCGTGTTTGGTTGAATCAACTGACTGAGAATCAGAAACACCAAGCCCTTGACTTTGAAGAACGCTAGAAGGAGAAGAGGTCTTGCCCTGTTTCAGTTTGGGTAACACTGCCAAACCCTTGACTTTGGGCAGAGGAGAAGGACAAACAGACTTGGGGTTTTTCTCCAGGACTTCCTTCCACTTGCTCTCAAAAACACCACTGAGATGCTTGGCTGCTGCACGCTCAATCCTCCCAGGCGGATAATATCTTAAAGCATTTGACAAGGTAAGCCTCACATCAGCAGCAAACACATCAGGACTGGAGTAGACACCCCTCTCCAATTTGGATTTCACAGTACCGAAATCCATCGGCCTCCAGATGTCGTGGACATAAACCGGATCAACCACCACAGGCTTCTCAAAGTACCTACTCACATGGCGGAGGTTCATCAGACACCCCAAAATTTCAGAACAATCAAACTCAAAACCTAGTTTTTGCCTCTTGATCTTCTGAGTCTGACAGAGACCATCAAAACCTAACTCCTCCGATTTTCTATGCTTTCTAGGAGACGAAGACAAAGGGATGGTCTTTATCTGTTTGGGCGACAAACCCTTGCGCAAAGGAAGAGAAGTAGTCGGTTTGTTCTCCACGGCTAAATTCTGTTGGGTCTCAAAAACCCTAGAAACCCTCTTGATCTTCTGGGTCTGAAACGGAAACTCAAACGGAGCAACGCCATCGCCCAATTGTTTACGCTTTCGATTTCCAGTAGACAACGTCATTCTTGATTCTCGACTCCAAAACCCAAAATTCGCACAATTGTTGGACAGTGAGTGAGAGAAAGAACTCGCTCGCTACTTTTAAAACCCAGAAATCACAAATCGTTGCAGAGAAGAAGAGAGAGAACTCGCTCCTTCTTGAACCCAGAAAACCACTCGATCGTTGCAGACAAACAGAGCGACAACTCGTTGCTTCGTAAACCACTCGACCCAAAACTCGCCTCGCTCGTTGCAGAGAACAGAGAGAATGGGAGAGAGAAAGAGAGTTTTGGAAACTAAGGAGTGCAGTGCAGTGTTCAGGATTTAGGGTTTGCAGAGAAACAGAGCGAGAGAAAGAAAGAGACGATAAAAGGAGGGGAATGTAAGCGTTCTGGCGCTAACGGTCTTCTTTTTTATGTTCAAAATGAAGGTCGGTGCTGTGACTTGGTTGGCACTGAAGCTTTGTGAAACTTGCATACGCGTCATAAAAGTAAAAAAGCCACCCGTAAACATGGAATAAAAAATATATATTTTCTTTCCTATTCCTATTCCTATTCCCAAATGGTTTGGGAATAGAAATAGGAAACACAAAATTAAAAGGTAAAATAAGAAACATAAAATTAAAAAGTTTGATTTACTTATTTATAAATCAAAAAATATTTGCAGACCCATCACCCAAAATTTAAAAGCTTTAGTCATTTATATTCATTTAGGAAATTTGTATTTAAAAAGAAAAATTGGAAAGTTTGTCTATGATAAAAAAGAAGAAGTGAAAATTAAAAAAAATTAATTATGTAAAACTTCAGCCATGGATGGATGGTAAAATACCTTGATAAATTAAAGAAAATAAATTGAAAATCAATCTACCTAGGTATAGATGCAACTTATTGATGATTTCAGTTTCTAACCCTAGTGAAAAATAAATAAATAGTTTCCAAATTAATCTAGATAAAAAGAACAAGAGAGCAAGATAAATTTAAGCCACAAAAGATAAGTATAAAAAGAAGATCATGGGGTACCTAAATATCATAGGTGTCGAGATACTCGCCTAATCCCCGAAGACATGTCCGATTTTCGTACTAGTTACTTTTTTTTTCTCAATAATATACTATCATCTTTCTCTATAAGTTATATATATATATATATATATATATATATATCAAAGAAACTGAGGCAACAAACACCAACATTTGGATGGTAACAATGGTAGATGGGAAGAATATCCTCGTAGTACGTCATAAATAGATGTGGAAAATTTATTCCTAGTGTGACGCAATGATCTACTTTCGCTGTCACACACTTCCCTAAACCCTAATTTAGTTCTATTTTCGGTGTTGAGAGGACCCATTAACAATGTATGTGTACACAATTGGTCCAATACATTCCCAAGGAGCTCTAGTTCTAATGGCATTGGGGTGGTGGGTTAGAGAAAAGATAGACAACGTCTTTGTGGGTAGTTGATTGTATATCTTATAGTGAGCTGTGAGTTTTTATCTTCCTTTTTTTCTTTTTTTTTGTTGTTGCATAACCACAATAGTAATGTTGGTTAGCTACATTTCTTCTACTTTTCTACCTCCCACCTTTGTCTATTACCATTGTCACTATTGCCGGTTCTAATAGCCAATGGCTGATTTATTTGGGGCCATGATGTATTTCCTAATTTATTCCACAATTATTAAAAAAAAAGGTGGAAAATTAACCATGGACTCTGAACTTTGTTCCACTTTGCTTTCTGAACTTTCAATTTGTTTTTTACTCCCTCAATTGTGTTAATATCCCTTGAATATTCAGCTTTGTTATAATTTTCCTCTAGTTTCCATCATGTGTGCACATGACTAATTTTTGGGGCCATATACTTCCATTGATGTCTTAACCAAGCATTGACTTCAATTTTCTTAACCTCAAACCCTCATTCTCGATTAGATACGCAAGTCATGAAATCGGGTGAGAGGCTCGAGTCATACATAATGAAGGTGGGTTAAAATAAGTTTGAACTAAAAGGGACAAACATAACCCTCAATTTGATGGATTAATGGACATAACTAACAGTAGGAGAGGATCGACACAAATTGAAAAATAAATAAATAGTTTCGAAATTAACCTAGATAAAAATAGGGAGTTTCACTAAAACACCCAAAATGTGGGCTGAAATTATAAAAAAACCCAACACCCAAACACTTTATAAACACACCCAAAACCCATCATTACATACACTCAAAACCCATTTATAAACACACCCAAAAAATATACAATTGTTGATTTTGGGTGTGTTTCTATGTTTAAATAGTGCTTGGGTTTTTTTATAAATACATGTCTAGGATTGGGTTTATTTATAAATTTGTAATAAAAATAACAAGAGAGCAAGATAAATTTAAGGCACATAAATAAACATATTTGGAACCCTAAAGCTCCCAAATAAAAGCTTTAGTCATTTATATTAATTTAAGGAAATTTGTGTTTTAAAAAAAAATGGAAAGTTTGTCTATGATTATAAATAAATAAAAAAGGTGAAATTCAAAACAATTAATTATGTAAAACTTATGCCAGTAAAACACCTTGATAAATTAAGGAAAATAAAAATCAATCTACATATTGTTTGGGCCACAAATTGGCATGCCCAGCCCAACAAAAATTAGGCCCAGAATGAAAGCTGCAAAGAATCAAAGAGAGATGGAAGCCCAAAAGCCAGAGGAGACCAGCCCAAGACTCGTCAAAATAGACAAGGCTAATCTGGGCCTCACAGGCCCAATAAAAGAAAGAAGAAAGCCCAGAAGTAGGGACAATCCCACGTGACCTCTCTGGAAAAAAGAAAAGTCAGCAATGGCAACTGTCACAGGAGAAGTAATTGAAGGGTTCATAATATCAAGATTGATTCTGGAAAAGCTGAAGATCAAATCCCTCTTACCCATATATGATATACATATATACATACTCAGAGATTTTTTCTCCTGTCTTTTCAGAGAAGGTAATTCTCCCAAGGAGATAAGCAAGTTACAATCTCAGGGAGGGATAAGCAGGAAAGCAGGAAGCTGTCCAGAAAAGAAGTCAAACTAACCGTCACCGGCAAAAGATCACAAGGGGCAGTTGAAATTGGGAAAGAGATTAGGTTCCTTTTTTTGAGAAAATCAGGGAAGTGATTGCCTATCTGTTGAGAGCCTATCTACCAAAAACTGAGGAAACCTTTTTTTCTTTTCTTTTCCATTTAAAAAAAAAAAGAAGATCTTTTGAAAGGATTTGCCGCCCATTATTAAAAGAATTACCCTACTCCAGAAGACATTTCTTATAAATACAAGAAGGAGTGAACAGGGCAAAGGACAATCAAATCTTACAACAAAAATTTCATCACTCAATCAAACAAAGATCCTACATAGGAAAACCCTCAAATAAACAAGCCCACTTGAATTTCAAGTGAAAAACTAGCTCCAGATCAGAATGCCCAGAATCCAGGTTTAGGAAGCAAGTCATTCAAGACGAGATTTCTCTCGTTATAAATTTGGTTCAACAAAAAGCCAAAACAAGCAGAGTTTGAATCTTCTCCAAGTATGGAAAACCTCAGCAAAATTCACGGAATAACCTCCAGCTCACCAACGTCCTCAAGAACAGCCACTTCTGCCTGTTCAAACTGAAGAAACCGCAGTTCTGCCCACTCAGAAGCTTCACAAAAAGCTTAAGGTACATTAAAGCTCTGCCAGAATCAACCTTTGGTATCGATTTGTAGTTGAAGATCGGGCAATCAGAATTGTCAACGGTCCAGTCCAGCCCAGACATTCCCAGTCCAGCCCATCATAGAGCCTCCCATCCAGGCAGAAATGGAGATCTAGCTATCTTTTTATCTTTTTGGCATCGACATGTATTTTTGTAGTCTTGTAAAAGGCACTTCCGCCCAAAAATAGCTTAAATTTCATCAGCCATTCTGGCCAGAACAGCCTCTTTATACTGAGATAAATTATTGAAGTCCTCACCAGTCTGAGGCAAGAAAAGAACTTACTTGGGAGATATTCCTCACCCAAATTCACAATCGTTTGTTTAGGAAATCAGTAACTTGGGGCGCAAGTTATTCATTCCAGACTAAGTCTGCTAGACTTCTCATTACTAGCAGTGGCACGCTCGCACACCAAAGAAAGCTGACTTGTTGACCAGTCTATGGTTCTCAAGGCAGTGGGGAACTTTGCCCTTCCATCATAGGAGTAAACGCAAAACGGGTGAACACATATAAAACTTATATTAGTGATGATAAGAGCATCCACAATGATGCTCTATATTTCTTAGCTAAAATTTAGCTAAAAATATAAGAAAGCTATTTTAGGAGCTCTCTAAAAAATTTCATCTCCAACCATACTCCCTAATTTGGAGAGTCATAAATGTTATAACTCTTTTTTGATTGGTCTATCTCTATTAAAAAAATAAAATAAAAAATAGTTAGCATTAAATTAAAGTTTGAAATACTCATTAAATAAAGCAGCATTAAATTATAGGGAGTCACTAGGAGTCTTTTCTTTCTCCTCAGATTTAGGAGCTCCTAGAGGACTCCCTATTTTAGGAGGTGAATAGGGAGCATGGTTGGAGTTGCATTTTTACGATGCCTCCCTAAAATTTGTCTAAGGAGGTGGTTTAGGGAGCTCATTGTGGATGCTCTAATAAAACATAAACAAACATTATGACACACTTTTATGATCATTAGATTGAAGAGTATCGAATGGCTGAGATTGCATATAGCATCAACGTATACTAATTTTCTCTTTAAATAATTAATAAAAATTGGAAATGACAAAACATTTTAAACTTTTCCATTTATCTTCATCATTTCCTTTGAATTCGTAGAGACACATTGGGCTCAAACAGGTTAGGGTGTGACTTAAATCCTTAGAGCATCTCCAAGGGAGATGTCAAATACCAAACATCAAATTTAAATTTGATGGCTGATGTGGCAATTTGACATATTGTAAAACTCTTTATCCAACCAAGATGTCAAATATACATTTTATTTTATTATTTTTAAAGGCAGGTGGGCCCGATATTTAAGAGTAAAATATTAAATAGAGTTAAGAACTATACATGGAAGAGGAGAGAAGAAAGTGGGCTCAGCATTAAAATAATAATAATAAATAAAAAGACATCTCAACATCTTGGCGTCAATTTTGACAGCAAAAGTGAAGGATGTCAATCCAACTAGGATTTGGCATCACGATTGGAAGGCTTAAAATGTCTTTTTTTGGGTTAAAACTTGCCATGTTGGAATTGACATTTCGGTTGGAGATGCTCTTAGAACAACATTTTCATCCATTTGCCACGGTAAAAGGCAAGCAAAGGTAAAGGCTGTTGCTATTCACATGAATAGTATCTGCCTTAGCAATTTTTTTGTTGATTTTTCACTTATTGCCATGGAAACCCAAGGGCAACCACTATTCACATGAGATATGAGAAGAGGAATTTGTATAGAGTTTTGGTGTGGGAAGTGAAGAATATGACTAAATATTTTATTAAAAAATAATTTTTTGAAATTTTTAGTTTTTTTTTCCATTTTTTTTTGTTATTTAAGTTGGCTGCTGACGTCACAATAACGTCAGCATTAGGTCAGCTTGTCCACGCAGCAGCCCAGACAAGTCTTGCCTTTGGGCTTGCCCAAATTGGTAGAGCCCAGCTCTTGCCTTGCCAAGACTTGAGCGTTGGAAACACATTAGGAAACCTGGGGTCCTAGGGACCTCTTGCTCAGGCTAGGACCTCCCGGTGAAAATGCTCTTAATGCAAGCTCTAACCAATAAAAATGGGACTCTACCGAGCATATTGACCAAAACAATACGGATCGACGGTCTTGGGTACGGAGGGCAAATGATGAGAATGAGTTCAAACTCTCACCTTGTTTGCAAAAATTCAATTCAAATTCAACACTCTAGTTGTAGTAATTAAAACTTGAAATTCAACAATAAAAATTGCAATCAGAAAATGGAAATTAATATCACATATAGGTCGTGTTTGGGTGGAAGCAAAACTTTGTGAGGCCTTCTACACAACCGACACTTATCAGCCAAACAAGGCGGAAGGAACTGTAGGGTCCAGTAACCGTAGAGAAGGCGGGCCCAGTGGACAGGGTCGAGTGCATAGTCGTGACAATAACACACCTTTGCCGCTTTGCTAATAAATATGCCGAAGAAACTGTGAGCCCAAAGACACTGTGGGCGTTTTGAACCCAAGACACAGCCATGGAAGCACATCAGAAGAAGCAGCTGGTGGCGGTGGGTCTTCTTATCTTTACAGTCTTTATTTCTGGTGTTGGAGCTTGGACTGGTGAAATCCATGGCAGAGTTGTTTGTGATGTCTGTGGTGACTCCGCCGTTGGACCTGAAGATCATGTTCTAGAAGGTCCTTTCTTTCTCTCTTTGCTCAAATCAGCCCATTAACTATTTGTTTTTGTAATTATGTGTTGCTCGGTGAAAATTTTGAACTGGGTTATTGTGTTTGGCTTGTGATTTTTATGGGTTGGTGGCTATGATCATTTCTCATCTATGCGTTTTGAGTCTTTGGGTTGGTGGTGATGATCATCATGTTTTTTGCTACAATTTTACATTTTGTCCAATTGATTTCCTTGTTTTTTTTTCTTTTGATGAGTTTGCGAGCTTGTTTATGAGCTTAATTAGATCACCCTGAGATGATTTTTCTGAGACATTAACAAATTGAAAATTGCTCTGGTTTTAATGCTGTTTGATGATTTTGCCCAATCTGAATGTATTATTATTGTAATGTTCTGCATTCCTTTATCTTTCTAATGGTTTTTGCTTTCAGTAATATAATTGATGTGTTGGAATACTTTTCTCTTCATGGATATAAAGACATAAAATTTGTGTTTTCTCTTAATCCTATAAACGATTACTAATCTTTTAAATATTTAAGAAGTCCTCTTTTTGTCATCTCTAGAAATTTGATCTGATAATTGCAGAAATCAATGTGAAGCAACAGTGGATTTTGAATTTATAGTCTACCTGTTTTGCATAACTACTAGTACCTTCCAAAAACAGTTTTTATATCCTCGTTATGAATTCATATAATTGGGCTATGTTCTTGAATCTTATCGAAACGGTATTTACCTCTTATGTTAAAGTTATACAGGTGGAACATTGATTTATGTCATTGAACTGCACAAGGTCTTCCAATATTCCCATCTGAACTTGTTGCCCAAATGTCTTCATTCACATTTGCATTTCATCAAGATTAAAATAGTTGATAGTAGGCTTAGAAATCAAAAGTGGTATTTAAATAGGTAGGAGGAGCATGATATTTTGACCTATATTGGTCTTGGCCAATTGCTATCTAGGTGTGGAAGAAAATCTTGTTGAGTAGGAAACATGTTGTAGTTTTGGAAACTTCAGGGAAATTATTCTGAATAAAAAAAATTTCAATTCAAAATCTGATTGAAACTGTGTTGACAACCTGGTTCATATCTTCTAGGTCCCATTTTCAATTTTGAACATGGGATTTCACTCTTTTCAGAGATGAATGGCTGTTCTCCCTACATAGGAACTTTGGTTGTACAATAAAAAGAAAGAACTTGACATCATTGCTGAAGTAATGACAGGCGGCTGCATTGCCAAAATACATTTTTCACTTTAGCTGGAGGAAGATCTTGTTGGATTAAGTTCAATCAGTTCGGAACATTAGGAGATCTTCACCAACATAGTACATAAACCAGTTTTTCTTTTTCATGAATCTGATACAAGTTAGGACTTTTACCCAGAAACTTATAAACCATGAACAAAATGCCAAAATGCCAAAATATCCATATTTATTTTTCAATGACTTAGTTTCTTATTTCAGACTTTTTTCTTTGATGATTTCATCTGTTGGATTTTGTTTTTAAATGCAATAGAGATATTATAACAAGTTCACATCCATGTGATTTATGGTGACTTTTATCATTTGAAGTTGGTGATGAAATTAAAATGGTTAGTGTATGTTTTAGCTTTGTAACTGCTATCTAGGATGCAATTACAATGTTAGATCAGTGTATTAGTGGAACTTTGACATTCTTGCATTTATTTTTCACTTTGGATATGACCGAAATAGATGGTTTTGACCCTTGATATTGTTATGATGCAGGTGCTGAGGTAGCTGTTCTATGCATTACAAAATCAGGGGAAGTTCTAAATTACCAGGCATTCACGAATGATAAGGGGATATATACAGTGGCAGAGACGATGCCTGAGAGCGACCGCTGGGATGCATGTCTGGCCCGGCCCATCAGCAGCTTCCATGAGCATTGCACTCATGTTGGGGATGGTAGCTCAGGAGTAAAGTTCAGTTATAATCACCCATCAGGCTATTCACACACCGTCAGAACTTTCGTCTATCGACAAGCAAGTGTACCAGCATACTGCATTTGAGAATTCTAAGCCAAATGTACATCTATACTGTTTAGTTGCAATATGAACTTGCCTTTACTGAAATGCAGTCATCACACAAAATGAGCGTGATTAAAGGGCATGTGTGAGGTTAGTGCTGTAATGTAGTTTATGATGAACATAGTTCATGTTAGTTTAAACCCAATCCTTGATTGGAATAATATACATAACCTTAGAGGAAGTAACATAAAAATTTAGGCTTGTTTACTTGTTAGAAATTTAAGTGTTTGAAAAGTAGCTTTGGTAGATCCAAGGTTAGCATCTAATCAGTCATGACACTCTCTTAGGAGCTTGATCGATTTTAAGAGATTTAAAGTTTATCATGTCATAGGCCGGTTGCATTCTGGAGGTTTGAGATTGGAACAGAGGAGGTATATCATAAAACCTTGCTAATCACAGTATTTATTTTGAACATCCATAGAAGGGAACACTGATCCTTTACAAACTTACAATTGGTGCAGTAAATTCCTGCAAAGTTATCTCATATTTCATAAGAAGCGTTGTTTGGCTCCTTAAAACCGAGGAGCTCCTCATAACAAATGCGATTTTGACTGGTGTGCAAGGGTACATGATCTATGATCATAATCATAATTACAATTAGGTAAATGCTCATAATCATTTGAGTTACAACTTACAAGCTTCTTGCTACGATATTCTCATAAATAAGTGAAGATACACCAAAATAATGCCATTAATCGGAAATAATCCAAGAGATTGCACAAGTCTTGGGTTACCCTTTTCGGGGGCCTGCCCGTGATATATGCTCATGCGTCAAATATATCTCCAGAAAAAAATAAAATCATTTTCCAAGAATATTTGATCTACCAAAAAAACTCATGATCTACGGCTGGGACACCATCCACTTGATGACAGACTTACAGTGGGCCCGAGTGCTGAGGTGTCGATAAATGGGAGGATCGCTGGACGTGGCCAAAAGGCATACAAACTATATAAGGAACCCCCACCAAAATGTCGAGAAGCTCCACCTGAAAAGGTGACTGTATACTACAAGTAAGATACGAACGAGGGGTATAAATGTCAGTCCAACAAATATTTTCCCAAAGCAACCGTTGAAAGACTCCAAAGGGAAACTGAAATAACTTGAATTGTCTTCAGTTTGATAGAAGACGTGGCGAGCTCAAACTCGAAGCCCCAGAGAAAATGATACAATGGCTGAAAAGATTAAGAGCTGCATTTGGAGCCTCGTTTCTCTGGCTCGTTTGCTTGGTTTACTTCACCCAGGTTTTTCATTCTCTTCCCCCTCCATCTCTGAGATGATAAAACCTCTGTGTTACTTTCTTTTGTTGATTTGTGAGGAATTTAATCTTTTGGGTCATTATATTATGCTGTTTTTTGTGTTTCTAGGAGGTGGAGATTTGTGATTCTAGCGTTTTGGGTTTCTGGGTTGTGTGTATTTATTGATTTTGGGTGATTTTGAGTAAGATTTTGTATGGGAAATGCTCTGTCCTTGTTTAGAAGTTTCTGATGTTATTAGTAGGCAGGTGAATTTTCTTTGATTTTAAATCATCCCAATCGATATGGTAATTGATATGTACCTGTTTGATATATTGTAGGGTTTCAGATCCTTTGTATGGACGGCAGTTTCTTACCAGCTGAAAGATAGGCTTAAGTTGTCACCCTCATCTTCCCAATTTGTGTTTTCAATTGCTTTCTTCCCATGGAGCATTAAACCATTATATGGGTAAGGATCTTCTTTTGCTAAGTATAAGCGCTGGGAACAAGAACGTATGATTTTGTTTTAGATGTGTTCATGGATCTTCTAGCTAACAGCTTTGCTTATTTACATTTATGCCATTTACACTTGAATTCAAATATCTGTCCTAAGTTTGTAATGCAGTTCTAGTTGCATCATGTTGTCTAATGACGTTGAAAAAGGTTCCATCATTAGTCTTCTTAGAAATTCAAAGCACAACTTAATCCTCACAGTGTAGTCATTTAGAAGCGAATTTGGAGTAATTTAATGAAAATGGAATCGTCACCTAATGTGACGAAAGAAAAGGATATCAATAATAATGAAGGAAGTGCATGATGATTTTGCTTATTTTATTTATTATTATTATTTTTTAATAATGGTATTTCATCCTAAACATAGAATCTCTATTGTTGTTCTGAGTGAGGACGTGCTTCCTTTTATTTATTTATTTATAATCTCAATATTCCCGCATACAACACATTTCATATGAGTGCATGAGCAAATACTAGTTGGACATGAAAATTAGCAGTCTGAATGACAATTGTACTTGTTATAAAAACGTAAAAAGAATGGCGATTATACCTATTGCATGTCTTCAATGTTTGTAGTCCAGACATTGAAGTTGCCTTTTTGTGTTAACAGTTTCTTATTGGTCCTTTGAAATCTGATTGCATGTATGCAGAATTGTGTCTGATTGTATTCCAATAAAAGGAAGAAAAAGGGTTCCGTACTTAGTGATTGCAACTGTGCTCTCTCTGGTGCCGTGGCTTATCCTTGGCCTGAATGCAACGTTGAGGAGTTCCAAATGGAACCTCATGACCTTCTTAACAGTCCAGAACCTGGGCTCAGCCATGGCAGATGTAGTAGTTGATGCAATGATTGCTGAGGCAGTAAGACGTGAGCGGTACGCACACAAACTGAGATTCTTCCCATTTCTTTGCAATGCAGTTTGAGTTGCATTTCAAGTATCCTGCAAGATTATTCTGTGAACAATATAAATCTGTTGGCATACAACCACATGAACTGCTTAACTTGTTCATGCCTTATTTTGGGAGTTTAGCATAATTATTGCTGCCCCAGTGGTAGGCTCCCCTATCAAATCAGTTGTGGTGGAATGTCTTATATTCCACCAAAAGAAGATGGCTATTTTTTCATTTCCCCCTATTTCTACTGCTAGTTTGTCTGGTTGATCAGGGATCTACTTCATTTTTAGTACCTCTCACGGATTTTTTCATTCCCCTTCTTAATCCGCTCAAGGATACAACTTGATATCTTAAAATTACCTTTATCAGGGCCACATTTGCTGGAGACCTCCAGTCGATATCATGGTTTTCAATGGCTTTGGGCGGCATATGCGGGAGTTTGTCAGGAGGATATGCACTAACCAACTTACAGATACATACGATTTTTCTTCTTTTTTCTGTACTACCATCCATACAGTTGTTATCATGTGGCTTGGTTGAGGAGAAATCTGTTATTGTAGATAGTAAAGTTTTGCCCGAATTTTATGACTCAAGTAGTGTCGATGGGGTGAATGGAAATAGTAGTTTTCTAGATGAAGATAGTTTCTCAGAGAAGAAACCCAATATCAGCATGTTAAGGAGAAAGAAAAGTAGTAAGGGCGGCAAAAAGAAACGAGTTACTGGTAAAGGCCAGATTGCTGAAAAAGTTGACTCGTTGCCTTCACGGTGGTTCCACTCTCTCAAAGCAGCCACTTTTAGTTTGTGCCATGCATTTAAACAACCACTCATTTTGAGGTAATTCAATTATTTATTTATGTATTTTTTTTACACGGGTTTCTTTACATGGCAGTTGAACACACAAGTTAAGGTTTTTCCTCTCTAGGGGGCGTTGCCATTGTTACACAATGAGATGATCTGGTCACTTAATAGAAATTCAAAGTGGTCTAGAATAGTCCTTGGAGAATGGGTGGTCAAATCATCTAATAGGATTGCTGTACATAAATTTATGGGGAAGTAAAGTTTAAATGTTTTTGCCCATTGTTGGTACATGGTCTTCAAGCCAATCTAAATTGTTTCTCTGGAGATATGATTTGCTATTTTTCTCATATGTGGATATATTATAATATTTAATCTTTGTTACTTTTGGTTTTACTTTGTTTGAGCTCAGACCAATGGCTTGGTTTTTCCTAGCACATATTTCCATTCCAAACCTCTCGACTGTGATGTTTTATTATCAGACAGAGTTTTTGAGCTTGGAAGCCTCCTTTTTGGGCACTGCACGTGTTGTGGGATGGTTAGGCCTCATGCTTGGAACCTTTGTATATAATCAGTACTTAAAGACAATGAAATTAAGAAGGATCCTCATGTAAGTACATGCATTTCTGTTAATATTTTTACTGTAAATGGATTCCTTTTTGTTGAAATTATTTTATTGATGATGATGTTTCTGTCCTGATCCTTGCAGGTTGTCTCATGTTGGTTTGTCTTTCTTGGGTCTCCTAGATATGGTTTTAGTCTCTCGAGTAAATCTCACCTACGGAATATCAGATAGAATTATGGTGCTTTGTGGCTCAGCTCTCAGTGATGCAATCAATCAATTCAAGTACGTACATACTTGCTCATAGCAGTTTTCTTCTCTAATTCACGAAACAAATTATGGGACTCAGAAAATATGGAATTGTGTAACGCTTTTACCCTTTGTATCTTACTAACGTGCAAAATTCCATAAACCGCTGCAGGTTTATGCCATTTCTGATCTTATCTGGACAGCTATGCCCACCTGGAATTGAAGGGACTCTGTTTGCCCTCTTTATGTCGATAAACAACTTAGGGTCAACATTGGGGTCATTTGTCGGTGCTGGGTTGGCTTCAGCTTTAAACATCTCTTCAGGTTCTTTTGACAACCTTTCTCTGGGAATTGCCATTCAAGTTCTCTGCACTTTCATTCCTGTTGGTTTTCTATTTTTGATACCAAAGGAAGTTACAGGGGTATCGGCGTAGCTAGCAAATCTCTTTTTCAACACAGAATAGGTTTTCCTAGATAGTGAAAATGAATAGAATATACACATGTTTTTTGAAGTCTTCTCCACTGGGTTCATGTATACAGAACAAAAGTTGAGATTTCTTTACGGATGCACACTACAATTTTGAAGTTTTAGCTACTTATGAATGACACATTTACATTTAGAGCTTGCTTTGCCAATAAACATGTCTGGTCTGGAATGAAATTTGAAATGTAGAAACAATTGCTGTTGCGAATACGTGCTGAAATTTTTTGGTAGGACAATTGAAAAATCAAGGAGGGGCAAAATCACTGGAGTTAATTAACACTGGTGATCAACCGCTCTCAAATTAAATAACACTCCAAATTGTTATTAGGTTGATTTGGGATTGAAGTTGATAGGAATTCGTAGTGTTATTAGATTGTTATTAGGTTGTTTTGGAATTTAGTTGAAAGAGGAATAAGAAAGATTGATTAATAATTGGTATTTTAAAGTCAAGGGACCAAATACAGTTGTTTTGGGTATTAATTTTGCCTTGAAATCAATAAAGAAACTAATTAAAAACTAGTTATTGAATAGTAAGTAAAGCTGTTTTTTGAGAAATAGTAAGTGAAGCTTAATCTCATCATAGTAAAAACAAGGATGTCAGTCCACTTTCCTGACGAAATTATAGACAAAATCCTTGTCAGGTTGGACCCCAAATCTTTGATCAAATTCAGTGCAGTGTGCAAGTCATGGAGGTCTCTAATCAAAAGCCCTGCCTTCATCCACACCCACCTCAGCCGCACAATCCAACCAAACAACCAAAACGACTCTCACCTTTTACTAGTTGTCACCACGAAAGCGGACACTGGTATGATTTACTCTTTCCGTTGGGACAATCCCGAGTTCAGTGAGTATACCCGGCTTATCTACCGTTTCGCTGACAATGAAGAACGTTCAGGCCGGGATCTCAACGTGGTTGGGACTTGTAACGGGCTCGTATGCCTTTCCTTAGGTTACAATAAACTAAGAGTTTGGAATCCTAGTGTTAGAAAGTTTGTGATTTTGCCAAGCCCTATTTCTGAGTATATAGCTAGGTATGCCTTTGGCTATGATTCGCGTAACAAAGACTATAAGGTTTTGGGAACTGTTAATTTACCCGGGCAGACCGAATGTTATCAAGCAGAGATTTGGTCCTTAGCTCGATCGGGGCTCGTGGAAGAGTCTTGGAGTTGGAAGTACTGGTCGAGGCTCTTTATCTGAACTCATCCAACAGCCTGCTTTTGTCAATGATGCTGTGCATTGGGTTCAACTCAATACGATGAAAGGGGAAAATGGAATTATGTTGTTCGATATGGTGAGTGAATCGTTTGGCGAGACTAGGGTTCCCCAATGTGTGACAAAAATGCTAATGTTTGTTCTGCAAGAGTATATCATCCTTGTTCTTATGACATATGGGTGATGAAAGAGTATGGTGTCCACGAGTCGTGGACTATTCAGTGCTCGCCATCAAGAATTTATAATAAGGCCATTATGTTGGAGAAATAGTGGTGAAATAGTGTTCAAAATGTTTGGTGGAGGTCTCCTATCGTTGGACGTTCGGACCGAACAAATAAAATATATTACGAGGGATAGAAACGATTGCTACTTCTTGGATTATTATGTAGAGAGCCTTGTCTTACTTGGGGAACCCAACGCAATTTCTTACTGAGGAGCAACCAAGAAGTAAGAGTGCAAAAATATGTCTTCAAATTCTTGCAACATATATGCACATGCGCTCATGGTGAAATTTCGATTGAATTTCACTTTAATCAGTTTTTTTTCTTGACTTTCTTTTGATAATTTCTGATATCTTTTATTTTCACTCTCATTGCAATGTAGAGACATTTTGCACCACACGCATGTCCTGTTTGTTAGCTGATGATGATCATGACTAACAGTCATCAACGGGAGCTTTTCTAATAAGGATTTGAGTTAATGATTAGTTCGTAGATTCTAATGTCAGCTATCCATTAGATATGATAGCAGGTTGAATATTTTTCTGATATGCACCGTATTTCCTATACAATGGTTGAGATATTAGTAAGTCCTTAACCAATTCTTAACATAAAATCCTAAACGGAGAATTTCCCCCTCACGTATGTATGTGATCAGCTCCACCACCAGTCTTCTTTCGGAAGCTGGGGGTGGTTAACAGGGTAGCTAGACAACGCGGTGGGAAATCTACTTATTTGAATTGCCGTTGGCTTCTCCTGGGAGTTTTCATATCCGGGTACGTATATGTATTGGAAACATAGGGTGACATGACATACTGGTTTTGCAGAGCTTTATTTTGGATGAACTGTTTTTTGTGGATCAATAAACTGTTGATTGAGGTAATTTTTGTATCCAAACTTATGAGTTGTTATGGACCAGATGTACTGTCATTTTGGCAATTCAAAATTTTGTGTTTATTACCTTGAATTGTTAAGTTCTTTTGAATCGATAATAAGATCTTTTTCCTTCTCATTTTATTGGAAAAACTTGAACGGACATAATACCCTTGGTTCTGTTAGATCAATTGAGGAAAAATAAGAAATTTTGACAAAGGTGGCGGTATTGAAATATAATTGAAACCGCATGAATGAATTTGACATATTTGAAACTGTGCCCGAGTATCTCACTGCAACTCATGGTCTTATTATAAGTTTACTCTGACAGTGATCATGTCATTGTTTTGAGTTAGACTTATTATATTAAGTTTTTGTTCTTATATGAAATACTGACTCTATACAAATTCCTTAAACCTTGATTACCAATGGTCTCAGATTCGAATTTCCATGACATCTTAATAGTATGTGTGTGAAAAAATCCTCCCCCCTTTGCTTGTAATTTATATTAGCTTGTATATAAAAATAAAAAATAAACCCTTTAACTATAAAAGGATATGACAAGGTGGCACACACATTGTCCTGACCTCCAATTGACCTAACAAGCGCCTCAACTTGTGTTAGTAAGTATATATAGAGAACCCATAACTTCAATTTTGTTTCAAGCGTTTGCTTTAAAGTTTTAATTGAATCTTAGCTTAGTTGATTTATTGAACATGATTTGTTCAAAATCATTAATCCAGCCTAGTTTTGGGCCCGTTTGGTATCCTACTTTAATTCAATTTTATAAATTCAAAAATAGATTTGAAGTCCAAAACCCAAAAACTTAGTTTGGTAAGCCTACCTTTAAAAACCCAAACAAAAAAAAACTCAAAAACACCCCGATTATTGAAAACAAAAAAGTGAGATTTTACAGTTTCTCTCTCTCTCTCTCTCTCTCTCTCTCTCTCTCTCTCTCTCCACCATCGACCGAGTCATCAGCAGTGGAGGAGGCTCCATCGAACTTATCACCAGATTGGATCGATGAGATCGAGACTATTCTGATGTTAGACGACGATGTCAACGACCCAAATCTCTTCATCAGCGACAACGACTTCTGCCCAGATCTCGTTGGGGACAGCACCTTCGGCCCAGATCTCGTCGGTGACAGCTTTGTTTGCAACCCTTTTTTGTTGTTGTTAAACTTGAGTTCATGATTCTTCACTGTTGGGATTGCTCCACACTTACTTTTTAAAGGTATATATTTCATAATATATATATATATATATATATATATATAACAAAAGGTAGAGAATAGTGAAACATTCAAAATACCAGAAAATGCCATTGGTTAATTCAAACATTAAGAATTGAAATTATTATTATGGAATACAACTACCCTTTTTTTTAATTCTAAAATAAATTTATAAATTTATAAATATAAAATAATAAAAAAAGCCTCTCTCAAGTGCGGGAGCGCTTGCGGAGAAGCTAGTAAACTATCTAATTAAAGGAATAAAATAAAATAAAATTCGTTAGTTCATCAAATAAAGAGAGTTAGAAGGAGAGGTCTTGAGTTGCTTTTGTGCTTTTCCTTTTTTCAATTAAAAATAATAATTAATTGGAACAAGTTTTAAAATTTTAAAAATAGATTTGAAGTTGAATACCAAACAAGTTTTTAAATCTTAAAATTTGTATTTGAAAACTCGTATTTTAAAAAGAATCATGATTTTTAAATTCATTTTTTTGAGTGGGATACCAAAGGAGTAATTTCTTTGTTTTTTGGAATTCTGGATATATATAGTTCACATATATATATATATATATTTCAATTTGGTCAGAAATCCTAATTATTCCGTAACATGAATGCATATGCAAGAAGTGACTGACGGGTTCAGTTTTCCTGTTCATCCTTTGCACCAAGCCCATCTTACCATCATTCAATGTATTCAATACACGAGGTTGGAAAAAAATTCTCAGTTTGAAGTGACAGTTTTGGTAGCACATTAATTAATTTCATTGGTTATATCTCTGACATAGGTTTGAGTGTCTAATAAGGATGACAAATCAAGAAGAATAATAAAATAAATAAATAAATAAGAGAGGCGTTAGTGACATGCAAAAGTATATTCCACATAAAAGCTTTGGGATGAGGACAATCAAATGAAAAGCACTTTAAAAAAAAATTTGAATTTACGATATTATTTTAATTTAATTAATAATTTTAATTCTTAATATTTGAATTAATTAAAGGTATTTTTTGATATTTTTAATATTTCATCCTTCTTTGCATTTTGCTTTATATATATAGATTTCATGAAAGTAGAATAGTTGGTGGAAAAAAATTACTACGGGATGAAAAGTACATTGAGAAATGTGGAATCTAATATACCTATTATTTTTAAAGTATGCAATATTGACTTATTTGGGGGAGTGCAAGTTTATTTTGCCTACTCATTTGTCACTCTAGATCATGAAAATGCTGATGTACTTTCTTAGAGTAGCTCCAGCGCTGCTATCAAGCTGGGCAAAAGCCCCCCCTGGCAAGCCCAATGCAGCTCCAGGGCACCACTTGCAGCCCGGGCAAGCCCAAGGGCAGATTTTGCCTGGGCTTCAGCCCGAGGGCGCTGATGTTATGCTGACGTCAGCGAGCAAAAAAAAATTCAAAAAAATTAAAATAAATTCAATTTTTTTTTAAAAAAAACCAAAATATTATGGATGTTTTCCCTATAAATACATAACAATTTTATTCATTTTCCCTATAAATACATAACAATTTTATATTTTGTTGCATATATATATTTTTTTCTTGCCCTTGACTTGCCTTAGACTTTGCCCTCATGGGTGGAACCACAAATGCAAAGGCTGACACTATTCACGTGAATAGTTGCAGCCCTTGCTTGCCCTTGCCTTAGACTTAGCCTTTGTGGGTGAAAGTGCTCTTATAGATGCTCTAAAGTCAAGCTACATGAGTATGATTGCAACGTCTTAAAATTATAGGGTATTTTGTTGAAATTGGACAAATTAGAGGGTGCAAAAACACCAACCAGTACTTTCTCGGAAATCTCCTAAATTGAAATGAAAATTAGGTCAAAACCTCAGGAGAATGTTAAGCAATCGTTCTGTCCGTATCAGAAAGCACCACTCTCTCTCTCTCGTAAAACCCCCAACCCCTAACTCTTCCACTGAAAATTAGACCAAATTCAGAAGTGATGTCTGACTATTTTCCAAAGGATATCATACAGGAAATCCTCCAGAGGTTGCCCACCAAGTGTTTGATCAAATGCACCTTAGTGTGCAAGCCATGGAGATCTCTGATTCAAAGCCCTAGCTTCATCCACAGCCACCTCCGCCGCACAATCCATTCCAACAACCAGAACGCAGCCGTTGGCCTCCTTCTGCTGAGGGCTTTCGCCGGCAACGAAAACAGTGCGCTTTACTCGTTGTATTGGGATAACTCTGAAACCGGTGAGCATTCCAAGCTTGTAAATCCTTACCCTTACATTAAAGAAGCTATTTTCTCCCCAAGTGAAAGAGTTGTAGTTCGGGACTTCCATGTGGTAGGAGCTTGTAATGGGCTCGTATGCCTTGCTGTTGACTTTGCCTATGTTGGTTCCCAAACAATCATTTGGAACCCTTCTGTTAGAAAGTTCGTAACTTTGCCTGGGCGTAGTGTTTCAGTGAGCAAGACTGGTAAGCGTAGAGCAAGCTATGCTTTTGGGTATGATTCGCGTACCAATGACTATAAAGTTTTGAGAAGTATGAGTAATAGGTACGGGAAAACCCCATGTGAAGTTGAGATTTGGTCGTTACTCAGGGGCTCCTGGAAGAGTCTTAGTGCTGCTGTTGTTCCAGAAGATTTCATGTTTGGAGTTTATAATAATCGTAATGTTGTTCCTTCGAATTATGGGTCTGTAGATAAACATGCTTTTGTCAATGGTGCTCTTCACTGGGTTCAACGCCGTACTGTAGGGGAGGACAAATTCATTTTGTGGTTTCATATGGGCAGTGAATTATTTGGAGAGATAATGATGCCTGAAGGTTTGACAAGAGAGCGTTGCTTTGTTTTAAGGTACGAGGAGTCCCTTGCCTTGTTAAAGAGTGAAGAACTACAGGGAAATTGTTCTAAATTCGACATTTGGGTGATGAAAGAGCATGGTGTGGTGGAATCATGGACTAAATTATTTACCGTAAACCTGCACCACCGTATGTTGGAGCCATTTTGTTTTACAAGGAGCAGTGAACTAGCGTTCAAAATGTGTGTGTTTGGTCGACGGCTGCTGAAGGTGGATCTTAAGACTGAAGAATTTAAATATTTTGGAATTGATGGATATATGTGTCACTTCATGGACTCTTTTGTGGAGAGCCTTGTCTTACTTGGCCAAGCCAATGCTATTTCTTACTGAGGAGCCAGCAAGAAGTAAGAACAGGTTTGGTTACACTCTTAACACGCTTTCACTTATTTGTGTTTTATTCCAAATATTTGAAAATAACTACGGATAATGTATCATTGTTTGCAACATGCACACACTGAAATTTAAGAATCAAGATGTTGCATAAAATCCCCTGTTTTCACTGGAGTTGTAGTAATTTATTCATTTTTTCTTGTTTCGATAATTGAAATTTCTTTTACTTTTTCTTTTAAATGTTGTCCCACTATTTAATAGGTCACTTTGCATCAAAAAAGCAATATTTTTTTAATGTGATATAGTTGAAGTGCAGTGGGTTTCTCTTTTTGTTTTAGCTTCTTTGAGGATTTTAATTTATCTGAGAATTTTCGTGAGTTTTCATTTTTTTTTCTAGTAAATTCCTCTGAGTTACCATTGCAATTGTGTCTCTTTGTATAAGTCAAGCCATGTGCAAGTGTTCTACAGAGTTAATCTGTCCACAATTCTATTCTTTAAGTTAGACATAAGCAATAATGACTCACATTTCCAATGTAGTTAATGGCCAAACAGTAATTTGGTTTTGGTTAATATGTTCTTAAAATCATATAATTTGATCCACTTGAATCCCCTTTTATCACTCACATTAACATGATAAATTAAGTTGGTATTCCATTTTCTTTGTTGCAGTAAGTCTATTAGTTCAACACATGAGCTCTGAAAAAATGGATCCTCTTCTACTACTACTAAAATCCATAGGAGTCTGATTTACAGTTGTCCAATGACGCTATGTTCTTCTCCACGGTGCATGAGAACATGTTTGATAGGTTGGTCAATTGTTGAATTGTTTCACTTATTGTTGGGGTTAAGGATTAACTTGTCTGAGAATGTGTTAGTGGGTGTCAATGTGGATGTGGATGGGCTTGGGTCTCTAGCTAGAGATTTGGGATGCAAGTTAGGTGTCTAGCCACTAAGCTATTTTGGTCTTCCCTCTGGCGGTAATCCTTGTGGCGTATCTTTTTGGTATCCTGTGGTAATAAAAGGTTGGAAGAGAGGTTGATTGAGGGGGCATGGAAGGTACTAACCTTAATTTAGTCGGTGTTGTTTAGTAGCATGCCTATTTGTTAATGTTCATTTTCCAGTTTCCAAACAGGGTAGATAAGGTTTTATAAAAGTTTGCTTAGGTATTTTCTGTGAGAGGGGAAGAAGGATCACTTGATTGGCTAGAATTGAGGCTATTTGATCTTTCAACTGAAGGGGACGGATGCTTTATGGATTCTTTTGTAGATATCCTTGTCTTACTTGGCCAAGCCAATGATAGTTCTTACTGAGGAGTGGGAAATAGGAACCAAGAACAGGTTGGGTTTCAGCAATTACTTTCATAGTTTCACTTCTCTCTGCATTACTCCAATATATGTTAGATTAGTAATGCTTAGAGCGCATGATTATTATTTGCAACTTACAGTGAATTTTATGTTTGCTCTAAATTACTTTCTCAGGTGCTGGAAACTATTTGTAAAGAAGGGGAGGGCCGACGACAATTGAAAGAGATGCAAAGCTCCTTGCTCTGCAATCTGGGGGAATATTTCCTTAGTGGAAGAACCTTCCCCCCGCTGGTCAAATGAACAAACAGTTCTTTGCAGCAGAAAGCAGAAGAGTATTGAACGGATGTCTTCGCGAAACAAGAACTTAATTACCACTTTTTTATGCACAGTTGTTCAGTCCTTCAAAGCGGCATTTCAATTCGTAAAAAGAATTGTTTGCTATTTTCTTCATTATATTTTTTAGCAAAAATGTGCTGGTTTGTAAGTTGTCCCGCGATGGCGTCTGTTGCTCTCAGATCCATCCAATTTGTAGTAATATATCTGTTTCAAAATGCAATATGTGTTAAGCCAAAAGCGACAGATGCAGATTGAAAGTTTGATCTTACAAATCGATTTATTATTATTTAGACAGCATTATATAGACTGAAAGAACGGCAAGGTATTACCCCATAAGCTATACAAAAAGGTACAGGATTTTAACGTCGTTTTTTATTTTTTCCTTCTTCTTTCTGGAGAGGTCAAAGGCAATTTTATTATTATTATTATTCTTGTGACATGAATGGGCCGAAACTTGCATTAGTCTGTATCTCGCATGCTATTATAATACAGCTGGCGAATGTCATGGGAATCTTTTGGAGGTTTTAAACGAGGAAAAAAACTTTCTTGTAATAGGGATAACACTGTTTTGCTATTCTTGATCAATAACACAATGAAACGTGAAAAAATTATCATACGTGTCATTGTGTTATTGGCGGAGGATAGCAAAAAAATGTTATCTCCATTGTATGAGAGTTTCTCTCTTAAACAAAGACTTCTAATTGTGTTATATATGCATACTATCCCGGTGGCAACTGGCAGTTGGGTGCCACGCGTAAGGTCTTCCGGCTCGAGATTGTGGTATGCCCTAGTGCTAGTGGTGAGAGTAGCCACTCTCTCTCTAACCTTTTGTTACCAAAAAAAAAAAAAAAAAAAAAAAAAAAAAAAAGAGGATAAACCCAAACTCACCAGAAAAGACAGCATGAGAAAAATGAAAGCAAAGTTGAGAAAAAAATTGAAGAGAAAATTACTCAGACGGATATTTTTCTTTAGAATAGCTAGAAGGATGACTTTCTTTTCGTACGGTCTAATAGGCACCTAATTAAGGGCTTTATGGCTTGTCCATATTTTAAAAAATTTATTAGAAAATATATGTGTATATTTTATTGAACATGTTTCATTCAATATTGTTCAATAAAAAATATTGAGTGGGAGAAGCTACTCTACAGCTATCAGAGCCAGGTTTCGATCCTGGGACCTGTGGGTTATGGGCCCACCACGCTTCCGCTGCGCCACTCTGATTGTTGATAATCATCCGTCTGTAAATCAATTTAAACGCGACTGAAGTTTGATAAACTTATTAGTTGCCTTTCCGTACTTTCCCTTTCCTCAACTCCATTGAAGTGCATTGAAGTGGGTCGCAGAAGAAGAACAAGAATGAGGAGGCGACCTGGAATTGGCGGCTTGCAGACAGCCGCTGCTGCTAGGGTTTGTGATGATTCTTCTCCTTCATTGATTGCTGCCCCTAATTATTGGTATTCAATTAACCAAGCCATGCTGGTTTTGCAGGACCAATATCGGTTGTTAGGCGAGAATGTCGCCAAGATCAGAACCGATCTCATGAAGGAACAGCTTACCACTTTTCGAACCCAGTTGGAAGATTTCGCTCGAAAACACAAGGTCCCATTTTGTCTTCAATCATTTTCAAATAGCAAATTACGTGAATTTTTTGTTGGTACCAATTTGTGTTGACTGTAGATGTGTATTGTACAGAATGATATTCGTAAGAACCCTGCTTTCAGATCACAATTTCATAACATGTGCACTAAGGTTGGAGTAGATCCCTTGGCCTCCAATAAGGGTTTCTGGGCAGAGCTCTTGGGGATTGGTGACTTCTATTATGAACTTGGTTGGTACTTTCTTCTTCATCTCTTTGCATATCTGCAAAAATTGGCGGTTATTATTGTTGTTGCTAAGATTGTTTAGATATATATATATATATATATGTCTATATATTGTTGCAGGCAAAGTCTCTGCATTTTATATGGGAGTGTGTGTGTGTGTGTATATATATATTCTAAACTGGAGCTCAATGGTTAGACAGGGGTGCAAATTGTTGACATTTGCTTGGCAACAAGACCCCACAATGGAGGTTTGATTAACCTGCAAGAACTCTGCAATCTGCTTCGTCAGAGGCGAAGGAGTGACCGTGAAGCTGTGTCTGAGGATGATTGCCTGCGTGCTATAAGTAAACTGAAGGTAAATATGGTTAGCCTGTCCATCCATTACTTGTCCAAATGTCAGTCAGAAATTGATGTGAGTATAAGGTACTTCAATTAGGAAGGCCTTAGATAAGGGATTGCCCCCCAAGCCCCCAAAGAATAAAAATAAATCTTGTGCTCCTATGGTCTTACTAGAAGAGGTTCACCTCCTGAATGTCGGGTTACTAGGCCTAAAGGGCTTGAATTCATGCCACATTTTTGCTACGGGACAGAACACTATGGCTAGTGCTTTTAGGCCGTTAGCCTGGTGATTGCTGGAAGGCTGATTAAGTTTTGTTATCATTGTATATGAGTAGTTGTAGTAGTAGTCCCTTTTGATCTCACGTTATTGACACCCTATATTTTATGATTTATTACGACTTTATCCACTCTTAAGCATTTCATAAACTTTGTCTTAAGCAGTTCATATTATATCTCTGCAGTAGTTAGTATCACATTATTATGATTGTTGACTAAGTGATGCATTATACTAACAACTGTTGCTTGATTCCAGGTATTGGGCAATGGTTTTGAGGTGATTTCTGTTGGAAAGCGAAAGCTTGTTCGTTCTGTTCCAACTGAGTTGAACAAAGACCATAATGAAATTTTAGAGCTAGCCCAGGTTGCAAATTTTTGTTTTATCTTCCTGCTAACTTTGGCAGGAGTATAAATTTGAGCGAACTTATTTGATGTTTACGACCTAGATGGGTTACTTAAGCTTATGTTCCGGTTCTCTTCTCTTAGGCTCAAGGATTTGTGACTGTTGATGAGGTAGAGAGACGGCTATCTTGGACCACTGGTCGTGCAATTGATGCCTTCGACACTTTACTAGATGTAAGTTGACGACATTTACTAAACTACTCATACTAGTATCCTCTCTTTCCCTTCAGTCTATGAAATATACATGCTAGGATTGCTGGGGCTCAATAAACCCTTGCTTTTCTCAGGAGGGTCTTGCAATGATTGATGATGGCCACAAAGATGGTATTCGCCGATATTGGTTCCCTTGTGTATCTTCCATCTCGACTCCAGGAGGAGCTGACACCTAACAAACATGAGGCTTCTCAATAATAATGGAGTTCAAAATGGGTTCTGTGTGCATACCGAATGATGGCTGATTTATCTGTGATTTCCTTTTGTAATTCTGTCAAACAGACTGCTGATGGACAATGTATTTCATCTTATAAAGGAGTCATTTGCAGGGAATAACTCATGGTACTTTCTGTTAAACAAATAGTTTTATTGATGAAGTATATTGGAGGAAAACATGATGCTCTGCAATGAAGCTGAACACAACTTTTTTGTTTTATTGGCATCTATGATCGTATATATATATAGACATCATCTCATCTCTTTCAAGAACTCTCAGTTTCTTCTGTCCATTCAGAGGTAGGCTCACTCCAAGACCTGGGGCGCACCCATTGCTTCAAAAATAACATCATCTCCAATGCCTCAAAAACCTTATGCTTATCCAGAAACCCATTCCAGACTCCACTCACAATGCATTACTTGTTGTTGTAAGGCTTCCGGTGGTGCGCCGCATGCTGTGACCGCGATACCAAGATTCCCAAGTCTTGCAGTGCCACGACTGGCGGCAACTGGCTCTTCGTTCTGTGAGCCCCAGCATGAAATTGTTGGCAAAACATAATGGAACCCGAGCACACTGCAACTAACCCATGAACAATTGGATCATCACAAACGACGTCTATAGGAAGCACCATGAAAAGTCACAACACGAGCCACAACATGTAAATTGTTAGCAAATTGACGCCTGGTTATTGTCCGTGGCCACTTGTGGTGACCTTGAAATGCCTCAATTTGGGCGGCAACAATTGGGGTTAAGGCACTACCGTAATTGTCAATACCCCAGTGGTAAATTCCGGAGCCAAGGTCAGCCAACACATAGCCCATCAAGCCTGCTAAAATGGGCTCGAGCCATATGTGTGAATTGGCTACACCAATTATGGACTTGGTTAGAGAAACTAGCACCATGGTGAAGCCACATGCAACCCACGCACGATGAGACCATGTTGATAGCAAACTTGGGTCATTGAGCTGGGGACGGATGGCGCCTCTGATTACTAGGTTGTCGGCGCTGGGCTTGATATTGGTTGTGAAAGAGCAAATCATACTTGTGCTGAGGGTGGGAGTTTGGCGGAACTTGGTTTCAGTTGAGATAGAGATCCTCAAAAGAGTTTGTTGTCTCAGGTCACTAGAGGTTGTTTTACCCATGTCCGTCGTCAAGCTAACAAAGTGTCCTGTCCAATTCGATTTAATTACCTCAGTTTACAAAAGTTCAAAACATCTGCCGAAATTAAATTATTACGGTTTGGTTCAGTTAATTATGTTGACGAAAGAAGAACATATGAGAAGAACATGATAATCTGCAATCAAATGGAACACAAAAGTTGTCTTTGTTTTAAGTACATGATATTGAACTACATAGTTCGAAAGAAATATTGAGTTCAAGCACCTGATTCAAGAGCTGGTGATGATCATATACATAGACTGATATCACCTAATCTCTCGAAATAAATCTTACAATATACATTATGCAAGAGTAAATAAATCTAGGAAGTAAAAAAAAAATGGTGATCGAAAGCTCCAAAAGTAAAAAAAGAATGTTCATTGGGCTGTAAGTTGAGAAGTGGTCTCAGTCTCTTCAATCCATTCAGAGCTGGGCTCACTCCAAGACCTAGGCCTCACCCCTTGCTTAAAAAACAAGATCATCTCCAATGCCTCAAAAACCTTGTGCTTATCCAAGAACTCATTCCAAACTCCACTCACAATGCAGTAATTGTTGTTGTAAGGCTCCCGGTGATGCGCTGAATGCTGCGACCGGGACACCAAGACGCCGAAATCCTGCAATGCCACCACCAATGGAGGCAGCCTGCTCTTTGTGCCATGCGCCCAAGCATGAAACTGTTGGCTAAACATAATGGAGCCTGAGCACACTGCAACAAACCCATTAACAATTGGATCATCACAAACAAGGTCTATGGGGAGCACTATGAAAGTCACAACACGAGCAAGGGCATGCAGATTGTTGGCAAATTCTCGCCTGGTGATTGTCCAAGGCCACTTGTGGTGCCCTTGAAATGCCTCAATTTGGGCACCAAAAATTGGAGTTGAGGCTCCACCGTAATTGTCTATGCCCCAATGGTAGACTCCGGAGCCAAGATCAGCCAGCACATATCCAACCAAGCCAGCTAAAATGGGCTCAGCCCACATGTGTGAATTGGCTGCACAAGTTATGGACTTGGCTAAGGAAACTAGAACTGTTGTGCACCCACTTGCCACCCATGCACGGTGAGACCATGTTGAGAGCAAACTTGGATCGTTGAGCTGGGGGCGGGTGGGGTTCGGGAGGAGGGGCGGTGGGGGCTCGAGCCGCCGTATCTGTGGTTCGAGGAGTAGCGTTTCGGGCTTGGGCTTGGGCTTGGGCTTGGTGGTGGTGGTGGTAGAGCAATTCACAGCTGTGCGGAGGATTGGAGAGTGGCTTGTGTGGGGTTGGTGTTGGAGACTTGGGTGGAACTTGGCTTGAGTTAAGATAGACATTGGAGGGTGCTAAAGAGAAACCAATGTAAGAGGCTAACTGGAGGCAATATATATATATATATATATATATATAGAGAGAGAGAGAGAGAGAGAGAGAGAGAGAGAGAGAGAGAGAGAGTGGAATTTGGAGCTGTGGAGGTGGTTTTGTGGGGAGAGAGAGAGAGAGAGAGGAAATGATGTGGTAGGCATAAGGGATGCGTGGGGTTTCTGAAATCCTCAAATGCCTTATTGTGACTTCGTCACGTATGATGTTCTTTTGGTTTGGTTTGGACTTTAAAAGGTCACCCCCTCTCACATAAAGAGCTCAAATATGATTAATGAGTTTTTGTCGTCGTAACATAAACGGTTTGACATGTTATGTTATTAGATTATTATTGTTTTGAATTAATAAATCTCGTATTTAGAATTTAAGATTTTAGGTGAAGTAAGCAGTTTGCTAAGTCTCTTAATTCAACAACACAAAAGAGTTTAATTTTCTTTTTCAAACACTAAGATGGAGATCAATTTCATAACTTACCGTAATCCTGCCCTTTTCCCTATCCCTCTCACAACTTAAGCTCACAATCGATTCTCACTTGAGTAGTCAAATTGCCCTAACATGTGGGGTAGATTACATACGTGGAATCATTTGAGCCGTGGATGTGGTTTGATCGAAAAGATGAGTGCAAACAAAAAAGACGGTCTTTAATTTATTGTGTGGTGGCACTGGCGTATAAGTTAGATTTGAGAGAGTGGTGTGTTTTTTTTTTTTTTTTTTTTTTTTTTTTTTTTTTTTTTCGTCTTTTTTTGAATATTTTTTGTGTGTGTGTGTAAATTATAGGACTGAACGCGACGACAAAATAATTGGAAGTTGAGGAATATTCAAGTCCTTAAGCATATACGGAATAATATTGAAACGAGATCCTTGTCAATAGTGCTCAACTTGCTGGTGGTGGTTGTGGTTGAATTTTCCTAAGCTTCACTTTCCAAAATATGTGACGGGGAAGCGACCAGTTGCGTTGAGATGCTAAATTAGGAAGGATGAACTACTAAAATGGTTTATGTATTTTATCTACTAATTTCATTTTTATATTTTCAATTTAGCTAACTTAATTATTGTATTGTACGTTTTAATGAAATTGGTCAATTTTGTCACATTATTGTAAGGTAACATTAGAACATTTTGAAAGTTTAAAAGGCTCAAAGCCAAATTAAAATTAATATGAAACACAAGAAATAGTTCAAGAGGGACATCTAAATTTTTTGTTATTGGAGATGCCCTAAGCATGGACAATAGAATAGCATACTCAGGTATAAATAAAAGATATCGGGAGAGGAGAGAATTGAACATAAGACCTTGGATGCAAGAATAAATACTCTTAATCACTTGAGTTATAAGCCCATGGAGGTAAAGCTTAGTATTAATTTTTTTATCTTCAAGGTGCGTTTGATTTATGATAAAAAGAATTTGGGAATTGGGAATCGTTTTTTTGTTTTTTGTTTTTTGTTTTTGTCAAGAATGACAAATTATTTGATTTCTCGTGTTTTATAAGTCTAGGCGCATATGAAATTTTCCTGACAATAAGTATTTTTTGGGTTTTTGAGAATTCCACTTTATATATATGGATAAAAACATATTTTGTAGTGATTGTACCCATTCCAGAGGTCACATTTTAGCATTTAAGTGGCACCGAAAATATGGACGGCAAGAAATTGTTTTTCATTATGTTGGGACATTTGGTTCTTGGGCTTTATGACTTGTCCATAATATTAGAAGATATATATATATATAATCATTTTAATTATTACTCATCCAACTATCCACAAAGCTAAATACCTTTTTTAAAGGTAGAAAGGAATGCATTACCCCATGAATTACACACCAAGTTTAAAGAAATTACCGTTGTTGCTTGTAAAATAAAGAGATGAAGTCAACTTTATACTTAATTTCTTATATACATATCTATATAGAAAACATGACCCTTTCTAGAGATTGGCCAAAATATGCATTAATATATTTCTAGCATGTTATAATTATACATAATGCAAATATTAAGATAGGAATTTACATATTAAAAACTAAAGGCTTCTAATTGTTATAAATATAGGTGAATGTGGATGACCACCATAACACCTATTATCTCCACTTTTTCATGTTCGTAATTTATACTCTTATTATTGTGATTAGTAGCTATAATTTGTGGGTTAAATACTTATAGTGACTAATTTCTATTGTCTTCCTCTACTCCTTATTTCTCTTTACAAATTCCCTTAGTTATATAACATGTTATCAGTACGAGTCTCTAACCAATTGAGATAGCACAATTTCATCTCAAGTATGAAAGCTCTTGTTACATAGGCTTATCAAATGGAAAGAAGTGCATCAACAAAAAGAAGTTGAATGACAATATTCTAAACAGATAAGAATTGTTTTATTATATTTCTCATTTACAAATGTAGTGCATGAGTTTTGACAAATTTGCATTTTTATTATAGATATCTATCTTGTCTATCTCCTTACAAGATTTCAACTATATTTTGTTATTTGTCAGAAATCCAATATTTTCATGAAGGAGCAAAGTGAGAGACTCAAGAATCTTTATACTTATACAACTAATGGAAGACTAGAAGTTCCTCAATTCTTATTCAATCATGTAAGGGCCAGAAGATCCTTAAATTTCAATCCTTATAATATCCATATTTGTGGACTTGAAGTTCCCCAATTCTTAAAAGTCAAATAAAGACCTGACGCTTTTTGATTCATTTTTCATTGGAACTAGAAGTTTCAAAAAATTAATTTATTGCAATATTTTAATTTTGGGTTTTTTTTATATCAGAAATGATCCATGAGGTTTGAGAAATTATTAGCTTTGGTCCATTATTTTTTTGGTGACATTATTGATCCTTTATGTTAAGTTTGGTCCTTGTTATTAGGTTCCGTCAAATTTTATGTTAAGTTGCTGATATGACATATATGTGGAGTCCACACATTCAATAATATATAGTCACATGTCTTTAAATAAAAGATAATAATTTAAAGGGAGATTTTATTGGGACCCCATTATTTGCTCTTTACACCCCATACTAATTTTAAACATGAATAACCTATTTTACCCTTGTACACAATTACTGTTAAGGACAAAAAAATTAAAAATTAAAAATTAAATTGCTCACTACACCCCACATATGTTCCTGCAACCCTAGTTTGACTTTTTTCTCAAACTTTCATGTTCCTAAACCTTAAACCCTAGATTTATACGTTTATATTGGTGAAAAAATATATTGTATTTATTCATAAAGGGTGAGATTGAAGTTAGAGAGGCTTCGAATGAGGTACGAGTTTATCTTTTGGCGTTTTGCAAGTTTAGTATTTCATAATGGTCGCTGGTTGCGTTCAGCACATCAGTACCGAATGCGACAGGTAAATTCGGTGGGATGCCACCGAAACGTTGCACATTTTTCGGTTGGGTTTGACCGGTCATGAACTTAATATTCGGTGGAGATTTACCGTAACATGAAACGTAGTTCAGTGGTTCACTACTGAACATTTACTTGCATTTCAGTGGAAAAAAAAAGGATATAATGAGTAATTTGAAATTTTATTAAAATTTGGTGGGGTGTAAAGAGCAATTAATAGGGTTCATATAGAATTTACAAAAAATCCATTTAAAGAATTAAGATTAAAACATCAAATTTTAAATTTATAAATATAAAATAAATAAATAAATAAAACCTATAGCCATCCCTCCTCTTCTCCTTCGTTCCCCTCCCTTCCCTTTCCATCTGCCCCAGCAGCAACCCACAACCCATCCCACCCTACCTCGACCCACTCTTTGCCTCTCTCTCTCTCTCTCTCTCTTCCCTTCACATTTTCGACATTCTTCGGCTTTCAATGCTCAATCCAACGCATAGCGTTCCAACTTCCAATCTTTTATGAGCAAATTATGCTTGAAGGCTTCAATAACCCAAACTTTGCCCCTTAAAACAAAACTTAATTTTTTTAGAAATTTAAAAAACTCATATAAGTAAATACAAAAAAATTTCTTACCCATAACCCAAGTTCATCGTTTTGTAAGTTCATTCGGGCCAGAGGGAGAGGGTGTGATTGTGCTTGAGTAGCGGGTGGAGATGGAGGTGATTGGGTTGTGGCATCATGGAATGTTTTTTTAAAAACAAAAAACGATGCAAATTTATGGCTAGGCCTCCAAAATGGCTTGAGTGAACTGAAGTTCCTCTCCACGTGGTCAAAATTTGAATTTGAAAGGATTTGATAGAAATTGAAATGTGTCATTGAATTCTTCAAACTGAAACTACAAGAATAAAATTGACAAAATTGAAACTACGAGGATCAAAGTGATAAAATTGACTAAAAAAACCAAAAATAAACTTCTGCAATTTTCTTTTGGTAATGGCTACTTTCCTCACTAGGAATTGAGAGAGAGAGAGAGATATATATATATATATATATTATTACCTTACAAACACTATGTATTTTCTACTGTTCCTCCCTGTCTTCCTCCTTGTTTGCAATGGCACGTACGGACATCCGGATGAGAGAATAACTATATGTATATATTCTATATATATAAGCCGTATGCAATTAGTAAAAATGAATTCTAGCAAACTTCTCTTTTGCCCCTTCTTCCTTTCTCTAATGACATGTGTCACTTTCCTTCACTTAAAATAATGTCATATATGCATAAGACTAGCTACTTTTTTTTTCTTCCAAATTTACCCTTATTGAATGTATTACTTTCATATTTCCTTCAATTTATCCTTTTTTTTATTTGCAATTTTCTTAAACCTTGTTAAAAAAAAATTAAAAAAAACGTGAATTATTTTTTAATAAAGAAAATGCTAGTTTGTTTTATGTAAAGAAAACGTTAGTTATTATTATTATTATTTTTAAGTGATTTTATATTATTGATGAACATACAAAAATACAAAGAAATTATGTGTCAAATATGGGTAAACCTTCTCTAGTGACCAAACATAACAACATGTTGAATTAATATGGAGAGAATCATGCACAACTCAAACAATGACTAAATCCCCCAACCAGCAACCAAAAGTACATGTACTCAGACCTGCAATACAAATTCGCCGCGAAACGACAGAAATGACAAATCCGTATCAAAAACCAAAAGCTAAAAAGAAATAAAAATCCTGAATAGAAAACAAATCAAAACAAAATTCTAAAGGGTTTCTGAAAAGTATTAGTCAAACAAAACTAATAAACATGACCACCACTCCACATCTTCCCAGCAACTCAAAGAAATCATAGCGCCATACCGGCTAAACCTATAGTCTCGCAATGGTTAAACCAGAACCCAACGTAACCAGACATCTTCCTTTCTTTTAGAGCTCCAAACTATGTCGAAGGGAGCCAAATCCTTATGTACGTGGGTCAAAATATAATGAATATATCATAACAATGACATCGTTTTACGGTGACCAATAACGGATCGAGGATTTTTTTTATAGAGCTGGGCTATATTTTTTTTACAAATTTATAAATAAACTCAATCCTAAACATGTATTTATAAAAAAACCCAAGCATTATTTAAACATAGAAACACACCCAAAATCAACCACAAAGTCAACTTTTGGGTGTATTTATAAATGGGTTTTGAGTGTGTGTAATGATGGGTTTTGGGTGTGTTTATATGTTTAAATAGTGCTTGGGTTTTTTTTTATAATTTCAACCCCCATTTTGGGTGTTTTAGTGAAACTCCTTTTTTTTTTGGACATCTATTATAATGGTGATTTGGTCGAGGTGGTCAAACCATCTATTCAACATCTTCACAACATAAAACCACCATCAATGTGTAGATAGAGAAACGCATGAAAAAAAAAAGTAAGAAGAGACAAATAGAGACTCAATAAAACAAAAGAGAAACAAACAAAGAAGACAAATGAAAAGAAAGAGAAAGAACAAGAACAATAAAAGAGAGAAAAGAAAGAAAAAGAAAAGGGGGCCAAGAAATTAAAGAAGAAAAAGAAATGACAAAGAAGAAAGAGGGAGAAAAGGGAGAGAGATAAAGAGAAAAAGCTATCATGACTTCATGTGAAAGGAAGTTGACCCAAAGAAGCTGTTTGGAGTTTGGTATGTTGATGACTCTAGAAACTTTGGGCTAAAATTTGATTTATATATCTAGGTTTGGCTTACAAATTAAGCCTACTCTCAAAAATAGGGCTCCAGCCCTAACATGTATGTGCTCTTTTTTTCTTTTCTTTTCCAAGTAATATGGATCCACCCTTGAAGGTGACTGCTTCCACATCACAAATAAACAAACAATCTTGAGGTAAAAGGGAGAGAAGGAGAAAAGAAGGGATGAAAGGAGAGGGGAGAAGATAGGGAAGGAGGCTGCCAACCCCCAAAGAGGACGGTGACTAAGACTTTTTTCCTTAGGATTTTCTCTGAAAACTAAACGTTAATTTTTTTTTAATAAAGAAAATTTAGCTTTTTTTTTCTTAAAAAAGAAAACGTATATTCTTTAAAACACAAAATAAATTTTATTTTTATTATTTTATACTCGGAAAAAGATGAATTTCACATTCCTAAACCCCCAACTAATAAGATATAGATATTATCTCATTATAGTATTCGACCCAAAAAAAGGAGAAGTAACAAAGCACAGAATAAGCTTGAGATAAAATATATAGGAGCAAAAGAATAAAAGTCACCAAAACCAAAATTTTCAACACATCAATGAATATGCATCTATATACAAACTTCTTTACTATGTTAAATTGCTCAAAACTGTTTTTAACTTATTTATTTTATTATTCTTTTTAAATGGTCATGATGTTATTTTTAATTAATGCGTTAAATTTCATAGGGCAAATGTGAAAATATAATTCATATATATTTTTTGGAATGAAAAACATTGTTTTAAGTGAGAGAGAGAAGAGAAGAGAAAATGTCTAAAAAGAGAAGGTAAGAGAGAAGGTTGCTAGCATTCTTCATTGGACACTGCTTCCCTCCTTTCCTGGAAGGAGACATTCCTACTTCTAGCAAATTACTGTTTGACTCATATGCAAAAACAATTTATCAAAAACACGAAAAGAAAAATATATGCACTCATGTCAAACTGTGATTGGTAGGAAAGTAGAAATTCCTATTGGTAGGAAAGTAGAAATTCCTACTTCCAAGGAAAGATGCAAGTATTTTCCTTCCCCATTAATAAATAGGTCGAGTCAATATGATGTATTTATTACATGACAAATTAAAAATCTCAACTTATAGTGAATTAATATTCAAAAGGATTATTTTCCAACTGAATATATCGAATAAGATAAGAGCCTGATAGATATTTATTTTTTTGTCGAAATCATGATAGATAGATGGCTTAAATGTTAAAATGGTCCCTGTGTTTTACCGTGTTGGCTAATTTAATCCATGTATTTTTAATTTAGTCAATTTAGTCCCTGTGTTTATAATAGTAATCCAATGTAGTCCAATCCAATCCATTAAATTTACATTATTAACTTTTTTTTTGTCTTTTAAAATCCGAAAAACCGTTTTGAAATTAATTTTTTTAGAATGAATTAACTTAAAAATATTGAAACTTCATTAAAACATAGCAAAGGACGAAAAATACCCTTCTTCACCAATCCTTTCACATATCATAAACTGCAAGTTCTTCAGCTTTCTACAGCTTCTCCAAACCCAACCAAGCCCCAATCACCATCTCCAATTCAAAAGGCCTTAGAATTCTCATTGTAGAACCCATATTTGTATTGGCATCAACAGCTAGCTCAAAACCTTCCCTAGAGCAAACCAAGATTGACAATTCATTCAAAGAAGGGAAATTGAGAATCCGCAATTTTGTGTGTTATAGCATTTTGATGTTGGAGATAGCTGGGATTGGATGGTGGTGCCTTGTTTTTTATTTTTTAGTTTTTGGATCTCATTTTTATTTTTTTTAGTGCTTATGTATTTATTTATAAATTAACTTAAATTATTATATTAGATTTTAAATTCTTTTTTAATATCAAATTAACAGATTGAACTACATTGTCTAATAATGCTAAATACAAGAACTAAATTAACCAAATTAAAAATACAAGGAGTAAATTGACCAACACAATAAACCACTATTTTGACATTTAAGCCTAGATAGATATATATGTCGTACGTATGTCCAGATTCTAAAAGAGAGGGAAAAAGAAAATTGAAACAGGAAAAAGAAAAAGTTTCCTTTCCTCGTTGGAATTGCGAGAGAGAGAGGCAATCGTAAGTTAAAGTAAGAACGTTTGTATCTGTCTAACAAAGCGGGTTCAACTAGCCGAGGGATCTCTCCCTCTCTCACCTACGCACAGAGAGAGCCATGGCTTCCTCTCCCTCTTTACTCTTTGCGGCCGCCGTAATCACCCTCACTTTGCTCTTCGCATATTCCGTCAAATTACCATTTCACCCCCGGGACGTCCTCCCTCTCTTGCCCAGACAGGTTTCATGGCCAATCCTCAACTCTCTGCACGGTGCGGTCGATCTCTTGCCCATTTTCGTGGGCTCAGCTTCGTCCCCAAAAGACAGTTTGGAGTG